TTTAAGTTATTTTTACATAATTTGAATATTTTTCGCTACTATGCCCCCTATATTCGTGGTAATATAGGGGGTTAAAGTCTAAAGTCTAAGGGTTAAAACATACAATTAACACTTTTGCGCTCTCGGCAAAGGTCACTCAGCCAACCGTATGTGCGCGCGGCGTTTTTATCGCTTAAGCGTAAAAACAAAAATGTGTATACTCTTTTTACTTTTCTGACCTTAGTTTTCATGCTACGTATTTCATTTTGGTACCAACTGGTTCGCAATAAAATTCTCTAGAAGAACATCAGTAAAAAAAGTCACGAAAGCTATAGAGATACCAGCATGAAATAAATAACTACGAAGATGAGTCGCCGTGAGCGCTCAACAGCAACAAAATGTTTTTACTCTTGGGATTATTATCACCTCTACAATTGTCCTACAGCCTTAATTTTGGTATCAATGGACTCCCAATAAAATTCCCAACACGGTGATATGAATATAATCGTAGAATAATGGTCCCGGCCCACCCGCAAGAGTGTGGGAAGTGGGCGCACTGTTACCCGGTAACGGTGACCGGACGACACACGCGCGAAACGTTGCTTTGAAAGTTTATACTTATTTCACTGTTCTGATATTATTATTGTATGTATGTCATTCATTTTTGTGGCAATGTTTTTGCAATAGAATGTTCTATGAGCTAAATTATACTACACAAACTTGGACCAAATAGGTGTACTTACCAAGGGAAGGCTGGTTGTGGAACAGTAAGTTGAGCATTTGTTCTTCACTCCACCTTCTTCAGGTTCTTCATTCCTGAAGTTGCTCAACAGATGGTTTGTAGGTGGAGTGAAGCTGTTGCGGGTGGTTACTTCTTCACCACCCAATACACCTGTTTCCGGTGGTAATTGGTGTAGCAGGGAACAACACAGAGTGCAACACCACAGGTCTTGCATCCATAGTTCGTGTCCTTCCTTTTACCGGACCGTGCGCATGCATGACACTTGAGACGTTTGGGCAGTCTGTAAATTTCATGTTTCAGTTTGTAGTTCATGCGATTTTCTGAATCAACAATAGGGCAGCCAGGTCCTCTCGCTGGAGGTGTAACAGGAGTTGCAGGAGAGTCAGATTCATCTGACAAAACAGTTTCGTCAACTGGCAGTGAGGCAGACATGTCGGGTTCAGATTCGTTGTCTGCTTCATCTTGAGGTGGTGTAGTGAACAAAGGCCGCCTCACACCAGATGGTCCGGGAGTTGGCATGGCGTCAGCATTGGCAGGAGCTGTGTCATCATTTATGTCTGGAGCGTGCCGCAAGTGTTGAGATGATGATGATGTTTTAGGCCACTCCTCTGTGTCCCAGTGCAATAGGGCCCAGATTGCCACTTCGTGGAACTGTAGCAATGTTAGCTTTTTTCGATCAGTTGTGTTGTATTTGTACAAAACATAGGCATTATGCAATGCCATTTGCAGGAAATAAAAGGTAATCTTTTTGGTCCACTTGTGAGTTTTCCTGGTAAAATGGTAATATTTAACCATTTGATCGAAGTGGTCCACACCTTTCATGAACTTATTGTACTCGCAAATTGCAGTCGGTTTGTTCACTGTTACCTGTTGTATTCCACTTGTTCCGTCTCGGTTGCGAATTCGCTTCCTTCGCTGAATTCGCTGAGTGTCTGCATTGTGGATGTTGGTAATGATTGAAACCACTCGCTTGTCTTTCCACAGGAGAATGAAGGTATTATCTTTGCGGTGGTATACTGTGGTATCCAGTGGAAGTTTACCCTTGGCTAGAGCTTGCAATACCTTTGGGCGCCACGTAGCATTCTAATTGTGCCACATGTGTACACCCCAAGTTCTCTCAATGTTTCTGTCAGGGTAACCGAGTTGTAGTAATTATCCATGTACAAATGGTAACCCTGGTTCACTAAAGGCTGCATCAACCCCGTTACTGTATCCACTATCGTCTTACCAATACCTGAGTATACGTCAAAGTCATATATGTACCCAGAGACAGATTCAGCAAGCATATAAAGTTTCACACCATACTTGTCTGGTTTGTTTGGATTGTACACTTTGAAGGATAGTCGGCCTCGCCATGCCATTGTACCCTCATCCAAACACAACTCTTTCTTGGGGATGTAAACTTGAGCAAACCTCTCTTTCAAGTAATCCATCACTGGTCTCACTTTTATCAACTTATCACGATTGTTCACGGGCACAGCATTGGTATTGAATGTGTGGAAAAACTGGTTTATATGCTGGAATCGTCTGGACGGCATGAACAAGCTGAAGAAACGAGCATGCCATGGCTTTGCTGTTTGCCAATACATCCTCATAGTTGGGAGCCTAATTATGCCCATCAATATGAACAGTCCTAGGAATCGCGCCATTTCACTCACCTTCACTGGGGTCCAAATATCTGATACATTTTCATTGGCCATCCGGAATAACTGCGAGGCGTACAAATTTGTTTCAACGGTAAAGAACTCAAGGAGGGCACGCGTGATGAACAATTGAATATAAGCCAGTGCACTAGTAGGCTTGGGAATTTTCAGTCCAGGATTTCCAGTAAAATCATCAACAACTGGAGAAGTATTGCTACGACTCCAGCCCTCACCAGCCCCAGCCTGCCGAGTACGTACTGTACGTGTACGCCTTTCAGCAGGCTCGAATGAATCCTCATCACTTTCCTCATCACTTATACTTTCAGAATCACTTGGCGCAATTTGTCGTGTGTTCCTACGACGAGTAACATGTCTGGTAGCTACTTTTCTAGGTAGCCTAGATGCACCACGTGTGCGCCGAGATGGAGGAGGAGGAGGGGGTCGCGGTGCCTCCTCTTCCTCGGTGAGGGCCTCAGTCTCCTCATCACTCGTTGCCGTATCATTCCCTCTAGCTCTAGGTACACTATAATCGTTGTGGGTTCCAAAATCTTCCTCCAATACCTCTACATCACCTTCAGCTTCTGATAAATCCTCCACAAGGCCTGGAATTTTCGTTGGTGTGAGCTTCACTCCGCTCCACTTCTTAAAAATTTGGGTTATTTTGTCCACTCGATGACCTGGAGGCTTCCTTGGGCGTAGAAGTGCTTGGGCCTTGACCTTGATCCATTTTTGATGAAGTAATTGGGTATAATCCACATGGAAACGGGTAAAAATGCTCGAGTTTGGCGCGCGAGGGGAGCGTGATCAACTCACGACACGTGACACGAAAACAATGGGCCCGTCACGTGACCGGGTAGGCCAACGCGCCACGCGGCCTAGTGGTGAGAAAGAGAACTTCATGGCGCGTCGTTTGAAACAAACCCCAATGAAATCGGATTAAAATTGAATTTTATACAAATATTTTAAAAGAAGACATAACTTTATGTCCACTATGCGTTTACGTTAGACGAAACCAGACGCGCCGGCGCGTCCAGATAGCGCGAAAGTGTTAAATTAACAAACTAAAAGTACCTTTATTCATTGTTGATAACTTCAACTTCAATTACTGTATCTCTGAAACTAGAGTTTCAACTTTGAGTGGCTTCTAAAATTCCAGTTTTTGACCGATTCTCACTATTTTGACATTTTGTGCGCTGAGCTGTCTGTTCTACAATCCTTTCAGAATGGAATTTCTCAAAAACTTTATACATTTGGAATTATAATTTTTTGGTCTGAATTTGCTGCATATTTCAAATGCCCTATTGACGATTTTTTTTTACAGTAAATTTTACTGAAAACCTATATTATAATTCAATGAAAATGAAGATCATATGCTATTCTGAGAGAATAATAACATTAAAGGAACAATTGGTGATAGTTCATATTTTTTATTCTGAATTGAAAATCTGAATTTTCAATATTCAATTTGAAAATTAATTTTGATTCTCTTATTTTTCAAGTAGTGCTGTGATCACTTAGACAAAGTTGGAGCATTTACGAAGTTGATTATGCCAAAAAAAATTAAAAAGTGTTTGTGCAAGTTTTAAAAACTTATGTTAAATTATTTTTTGTCAAATCATATACCTGTATGTATGTATTGCGCAGTCTAAGGGTTAATGCATACAAAGGAGGATGATTAATCTCAGGAACTAGAAACTTCCCTTAAGAAGAGATTAAAAAAACTTTAAATTTACTAACTTCATCTTTCTCTTGAAAGACAGAGTTAGGGGTGACATGATTGAAATATCAGTTGTTGTTATAGATTCAGCTACTCTGAACAAGTTCCAAGTAGCACGGGCTATGGTGAGCCCGTAACTTGCCTAGCACTGGAGCGGGGCAAGTAACACGGGCTATTGTAAGCCCATAATGGACTTACCTGGCACAGGAGTGGTGCTGTGTGAAATGTCGGTATATAAATAATTGATAAAATAAAGGGCATATAAAATAACATTACAAATAAATCAAAACTGAACAGAACATGAAAGAATGGCTATACTGTAAATTGGCCAATTTACTCTTTGGCCAAAATTGGCCAATTTACTCTTTGGCCAAATTGGCCCAAAAAATAGTTTACATTCAGGGTTGTTTATCTATGAAACAAATTCCAAGGCACATAATAAGACATAGGGGTCACTAGTTTGTTTGAAGCATAGGTTAGACATATGAATGAGTTTGGGTACTACCTTGAATGCGCCAGTGTGCCTTCTGCATTGTCTTTTATGCATATGTTCTTATGTTAGCTTTGGCTAACAATCTTTGGAAAATCTTTCAATATTCAATTATAAATGTGTGTGTTACACCAAACAGTATTGTATATTGTTGTATATTTTAGCATTGTATGTTGATTTGGTATAGGCTACCTGTGAAGTACGGTAACATGAAATGCAAATGAAACTAATGAATTTGATATAATTGCAAGTTGCCTGGATTATATATATCAAAATATTTGTGAGGACTACAGTAGTTGCTATTATATTTGTATGCATAATTTTTTTCATGAAAAGGTTTTGAAGTGTTGCTCAAGGTAATGGAAAAATGTAATAGAAATGATTTGCAGTTCCTTTTATAGTTTGTAATAATGGTTTATCTTAATTCAGGTCCAGAAGGGTCACCGTTTGAGGGTGGAGTGTTTAAATTAGAGTTGTTCCTTCCTGAAGAGTATCCAATGAGTGCCCCTAAAGTCAGGTAATGTAATTCATTTTGAATGTAGTGAATTAAAGAATTTAACGTCTAAACATTCATTCCCTATTTTGCTCATGTATACTATGGCATGTGTACCCAGCCCGTAGGTTGGGGAAGTGGATATTATACTGATGTAAATTACTTTAAATGCATTAACGAAATTCTTTGTTGCAGGTTTATGACAAAAATTTATCATCCCAACATTGATAAATTAGGAAGAATTTGTCTAGATATCCTTAAAGGTAAGGTGATATGCATATGTATAGTGTATAAAGAAAATTTGAAATATGGGTAATAGTACAGTATTATAATAAGGACAAATGATTAAGGTTGCTTTTAAGCAATAATGTATCTTTAGAATCACTAGTTTTTTTTAGATATGGTGAATACTGGTAATAATTGCCAAATTATTTGAAAATTATATTTAAAGCTTACTTTTGTTATGTAAAACACTTTTGAATTGTGCTCATACATGCTTAGAAAATATTGAGTGGAAATATTAGTTTTTTTTGTTTTTTTGCTTAACTAGACAAGTGGAGTCCAGCATTGCAGATTCGAACAGTGTTGCTGTCAATTCAAGCTCTTCTCTCGGCACCAAACCCAGATGATCCACTAGCTAATGATGTTGCTGAACTCTGGAAGGTACAGTCTAGTTGATGCCAAGATTGCTTTGGTGTGTACAATATTGCATGCAGGTTTGAGAGGAAACTGTTAAACATGAATGTGGGCAAAAGTAAAGTTGTGGTAGTGGTGGCAAAAAGGAAATTTTTTTGTATGTGAAATGAATGTAAATGGTGAATTGCTCAATTGGTTACAATTCCTGGGATGCGTGATCAGTATACAAGATATTTCTATATGAAAATGGAAAATGGGGTAAAGATGATAAAATTTTGGTTTATTGAAGTGTAAAATAACATTTAATTTTTCTTGCAGGTGAATGAATCGGAGGCAATTCGTATTGCACGGGAATGGACGCGCACGTATGCCATGGGCAACTAGTGCTTGCCTTTATATATTAATTTTTTATTGAAAGGATATCATTTCTCAGGATCAACAGCACATTATGTTGACAAGAGTGTGCAGCGTCCTTAGTCAAAACCAAGGTACCAACACCAGCAAGAGCCGCCAAAACACGGAGATTGCCATCCACTACCAATAAGGGTTAGCTGCTATTTACAGTCCTTACTGATAAGTATTAAATATGGCTGTCTTATACTCCAGTTGTTGGCCAGCAGACTTATGGAGTAGTGTGTGAGCTTGGTGGCCATGCAGTTTATCACTGTGTAGCGAGTGTTGGCTTGCTGGCAACTAAGAATTTTATCCCTTAAGATAAAACAAATTTGTTTTGGGCCACGATTCATATATATATATATATTTTTTTTTTTTTCTTTTTTTGTACATTTGTTCTAGTCTCTTGTTATTTGGATGTCTTGAAGTTGAAGATTCAAGCTAAATCATCTGACTCTTCAAATTATCACGAAGAATTCCAATAAACATGAGTTTTGCGTGAATTTCAAGTAATCATTTGTAAGTATTTTCATTTGTTCCCCATCCCCATATCTTTCATTTTTCTTTTGTTTTGGGGTCGCATCTTGAAGCAAGTATCATGTTTTTTGGCCCTGTATCTACAGTGCCTTTTTGTCTGTTTTATCTCAACTGCAAGGCTTTTTAAATGTTAGGACTTTCATTTTTACACTTAGTGGAAAAGGAAAGTGAGCATCTGCAGCACAGGGCCAGAGAACATTGTGAGCGTCACAGCAACATTATACAGTAGCTGTATTTTTGTGGGTAACATAACATGTTTGTTCATCAAAGAACTTTATAGTGATATGTTTAGTTTGGAGAATCGGAATACACTTTATATACAAACTTTTGCTGTGTGTCCCAAAAATTGTATCGAGTTGCAGTGTCAACCTTGTATGCGAGCGACTGTCGATCTCAGAAATACGGGTTCTGCGTGGTTCAGTAGGAAATTCTCATTTGTATTCTGCGATGGTAAAGTTTTGAAATTTGATATAATTTCCTTTTGATACAAAATGTCTTTAATTTATTTATAATGGACTGTAATAGATGATGGTGAGACTGATTACATGCTTTACTTTGCATTAAGCATAAAATATATACATTGTATATATGTGTTATTGCTTTGGGAATGTGTCCGTAATTGTTGATGCAATACAAGGTTACAATTAGTTGATACAGAAATAATTTGATTTAAATTATGCTCACTGTGACAATACACCTACTGAAATTAGTGAATTTTTGGTGACACACGGCTATGGTATCTTCAGAAATACTGCCCTAGTAACATGTAATCAATGTCCTATGTAAATGACTCATTCCACATAGTGTGTATTATTGATAGGCCTTATGATGGAAGAGTAATCTTTCATTACTCTGTTTTGTCACCCCATTACCATAAATATGCCTGTATTACTGCTTGCAAGAAGAAAAATGGAAAATTGGCAATAAAGATTAAATCTCGGTTAAATTTTGTATGCTGCTTTAGAGTAAAGACTAATAAATTACTTCTATTTTATTTAATCCAAAGAGATGAGTATTTATTGTTCCATTCAGCTGTATTTAAACAAATTCTATAAAATGATGAAAATTGCCAGTACTGTATATAGTATAGTACTGTACTTAATTTACTAAAGTAGAAAAAGGAAGTTTAATAAAGAGTAAAAGATGACATAACCCTTTGACATGGGAGTGATTGCTTAATGAAAAAGATTCTTCACTGATAAGTTAAATCAAATCCTGAAAATAATAAAAACCAAAAACTTTATTCATAAATGATTGTACTTGTATAACTGGGAAAGTTTACATAGTGTCTATATATTTGTCTAAGCATCTGGCTTCCAGAAAGTGAGTTTGGGCCCAATGCCTACTGGTGATGGAAAAGTTACCCCACACATCCAACTAAATAAGGAATACTGTGTTCAAGTTTAAGGACTGTTGCCACTATTTATTACATAAAGAATTATGGTAACTAAGGAGAGAGCATTTTTATTAAATATAAAAAATAAAATGTAATGCAAATTAATGGGAAAAAACAAAAATAGAAAAATGGCCAGAATTATATTAATTTTGACTAAAATAGTAACTTTATTAGCTTGATGTAAATGTAAAAGCATACTGTAAACTTATGGCCTGCTACTGTCTGACTTGTACTGTATTTCTTTATAGAAAATGGACTCAAATTTATCATTTTTTTCGTTTACCATAGTAGTATTTGCTAGCATAGTCTTGGTGTGTTGTAAGGAGGCTTCTGCATGCCGTTTCCAGTTGGTTGAATGGTTGTCACCCCCACCCAGACGATGGGGGGTGATGTAATGGATGTGCTTCATGCATTAGGAATCTTAATGTGTATTTCGCCTTATGCGTTTTTGGTCTTGTATTTGCATCCTCGGTGATATTTAGCGCCCTCTGATTATCCCGCACATTTGATGGTGCTACATAGCCTTCCCGGTTTGGTGCCTTCTATTGATAATTACCTACTTAATGTGTGTTTGCATTTATTCTAGGTATTCTTCACTGTTATTAAAGGGGAAGCTCTGTTGGGGAAAGATAAACCCCCTTTTTATATTGGCACTACGGGTTCACAATGCCCGTGCTACTTGGAACTTTTTGTTCCAGGTAGCGAATCTTAAACAACAACATTATATTGGCTTACACTCGGGGGTCTGTTAGGGTAGGTGGAGTCACATAGACCAGAGTTCCAACCATATTTTATACTTCATTTACGGATACTTCTTTCACATTGTTTTCCTATCAGACTTATGCAGTGGATGATCAGGTCCACATGACCTGTTCATCTGCACCAGAATATCTTTCCTGATAGTTCAATGGTTATAACCATGCTGGACCCCTGATCCTTTTTTCTCATTCACACCACACACTAATATCTATTGGAGTGTGTTGTAAATGAGAAAAAAGGGTAGCACCTGTATCTGCTTTCCCTATAATTTTATTTTGATTATGTGCTGTTCTAGAGCACCCCAGTGATCATCTCTACTGCAACTTCTGTTGCAGTGCTGTCTTGTTACTGATATGACTAGGTATTTAATGACTGTCTCACTACCCTTGCTAGCCAAGGAAGGCCACGAAGTTGTACTCACTTCTTACTTTTAGCTTGGATAATGTCAAATTAAATATGTATGGGGCCACTTATATGGATTAAATATTTTTATCATACAGAAATTCACCGGCTAAAGTCTGTGGATATTAATTTCATGTACCATCTTTGACAGTGGCACAAGCTTTGTTCAGTCAAGAATGTTCCTTCCCTACACCAGTGCAACGCATGTTACAATTTTTATTGTGGTGCTTTGCTTTGCTAGAATACAGTTTTCTCCTCTTCCCCCCCACCCCCCTCAACATTTATGGTGACCCACCAGAAAGCTGCATTAATTGCAATGAAAGTCACTGTACATTGTATTCTATGCTCATTATTAAATGGAGCAATCCAGTCTGCCTTCAATGGAAGGATAACATCTGGTCAGGCATCCTTCGACCTCCTCTTTTGATTTCGTTCTCCTGAATTGGTTTGATGTCCTCACGACGCTGTCGTCAACTAGGGTGTGTACTTTTCCTCCAAGGTTCGCTGCTAGGACTGACTTTCTTGAGCCTTCCTCATATCCATGTACTTTCCTCTTCTACATGTTGGGTCCCAGGACCTTATATCCGGTCTCTAATCTCCCCATTGTTATGGGTTCCTTGGAGAGGCACACACAAGTCCCTCATTATTTTTAAAGAAAACCATAGCATATGATTTTGGGTATACTTACTCCCTAGTACTCAATAAAAATCTCAAGTGAATCTTGTTCCTTCGACATCGTTTGTCTTGTGTTCTTTTTTGCTCCTATTGGCATCCTGAATAATATCGAGTAGTTTTGAATATTGTGTATAGTCTAGAGGGTTAACACTTTCGCGCTCTCGGCGCTCAAAAAAAATCAATACCCCAGATGCTTTCGGCACTTCGCGCGCCTACGCGGTAAGACCGAAAAAGTGTACACTCTTTTGACTGTCCTGACAATAATTGAAGGCGCACGTATTTAAATTTGGTATCACTGTGTTCGCAATGAAATTGTCTATAAGAGCATACCTATAAAATGCCGCCCAAGCATAAGGAGTATCAACACCAAATAAAAAACTATGCAGATCACTCGCCGAGAGCGCCAAACAGCAACAAAATGTTTCCACTCTCTTAATGGTTGCAAAGCCTACAGTTGTCCTACATCGCTAATTTTGGTATCATTGGAATCGCAATAAAATTCTCTACACGGACATATGCATATGAATGTTTAATATAGGTAATTGCCCACTTGCAAGAGTGTGTGAAGTGGAGAGTAGTTAGCCGCGAGCGCACTGGCGAAAACACAGGGGGGAAATCATGCTTGGAAAGTTTATACATTTATACGTTTCCTGACCCTACTTTTCTATGTACGTATTTCTTTTTTATACCAATGTGTTCGCAATAAAATTTTCTATAAGATGAAATGTATAACATTTGTACAAAGCATGTGTAAGAGAAGCGCCAAATATAGAACCACGTCGCTCAGTATGCGTTCGCGGCAGAAACGAACGAATTGTTTTCGTTCTTGATGTTTGTCATGTTTATACTTGTTGAAACATTTTATAATTTGTATGACAGTGATCGCAGTAAAATTCCCTACACAGACATATACATAACACATACAAATATTTCCCACGTGTCGGATATATCAACGGCTAAAGGGAACCCACTACCATACAGCCGCCACACCCAGAGCCACACCCGCCACACCCCCAAACATACTTTTTTTTTTTTTTTTTACTCATAGAAGTTTATGTGATATAATATTCATTCTGGTACCAAACAATTCGCAAATAAATTCTCTACAAAACGTATATAATATAACTTCTTATAGATGATAAAAAATTCCAAATAGGTGTACTTACCCTGTCTATGTTGATTGAAGATCAACAGTTGAGCATTTTTTCTTCACTCCACCATCTTCAGGCTTCTGATCCTGAAGTTGCTCATCTGATGTTTCTTAGGTGGAGTGAAGCTGTTGCCGGTGGTTATTTTTTCTCCACCCAAAATATCTTTCTTCGGTGGTACCTTGTGTAGCAAGGCGCAGCGCACAGTGCCACATCACAAGTTTTACATCCATATATCACGTCCCTCCTTTTGCCAGACTTGAAACAAACACGGCATCTTCTTTTTTTTTAGCCAAGTGCACGAGTTCATGCGTCAACTTGTAGTTGAGACGTTGTTCTGAATCTATAATTCTTGTATTTCTTGGATGCACTGGAGGAATATTGCCTTCTACAGGAACCACCAAACTTGTAGTAGAATCTTCTATGAAATCAGAAACATCAAGTGGTTCTATGTCCTCAATGTCCATTTCAGAATTTGTGGTTGATGAGTGGGCTTGAGGTGTTGAGGTGAACAGAGGACGCCTCGCATCAGATGGCCCGGGTGTTGAAACTGCCGCGTCAGCAGGAGGAGCTGCGCTGGCATCTATGTCGGGAACATGTGGTATGCTTGTTGTTGTTGGCCATTCCTCGCTGTTCCACGCCAATAAGGCTGAGTCACAAGGCTAAGGCCAATCTGAGAGTATCCCCATCCATTTCGGTTAAAAAATGGAATTTATAGAAATATTTTTTCGATGGACGAGAAAAGTAGTCTGTTATGCGGAATCGTAAGAAAAAACAGTGACGAGTTATCTCTAATCTAAAGCGCGAAAGTGTTAATGCCTTCTTGATAATTACTGTTAATTGCCCATGTGCTTCATTTTCATGATGCTATTCTTGCTAAGCTGGTGCCCATTATGAATGTACTTGGTTCCTGCTTCTTCACCATTATAACCGGATTTCACTTGTCTCACAAATCCCCTTTCCAAATTTTGCTTCTGGGAGATATCAGTCTTGATACACCTAAAATTATTTCTCAGTTTTCTGAACTTCAGCCTGCTCTGTCCCTTTACCGCTTCACAGCATTGGGCTTTAATAGCATCCACATTGAGGTGCCTACACCATATTGTTTCCAATGCCCCAGAATTATAATTACATGTTTATTACTACAGTACTGTATGCAGGGCCACTGGGTCCTTCTCAGAAGTCTGGTGCTATGTGATTGTTTTTTTCCTATTAAGAAATTCAAAATACAGGGCACTGTACATACTGAACACATGGTGTTCAGTATGTAAATTGGGGGACTACCTGTATAGATACAGATTTTACCCTTTTCCAGTTTACTATTGATTGTATATCCTGGGCTACCTTGTGATGGTTGGTTGGTGGGACTACCGTGCACAGCTTCATGTTCTCTTGCAAAAACTCGCATTATGTCTTACTCCCCTCCATCTTCCCTCCTTTCCAACTTTTTGCACAAGTGGGTAGAGTATCTCTTAACATGAGTAAAGGGAAGCTCCAAAACTGTTAAGCCTTACTCGTCTAGTTTTCCTGAAACATGATTTACCAATTTGTTTACAACCAGGTGTTCAATTACTGTTGAATATGCAAAATAAATGATACCATTATGTCACCCTTTGCCATACTATGCGACAAAATTTTGCTTCTGGGTAGTGGTATTTTCCAACTACTTAAGATTAAAAACTATAGAAAATTACTATTGTTCCCCTCAATCCTTGTGATGAGTTTTGAACTTTGTCACTGTTATAGATAAGGAGCTAACAGCCTTCAAGTTTCCTTTGACATTTTTCCCCAAGCTTTCTAAGGCAAAGTCAAAGCTAAGTTTGAGAGGAATAATAAATAGCCCATTTTCTAAACTTTTAAAGCATAAAAGGTTAGAAAATAATACTTTTTATCCTAGGGTAATGTTAGTGGTAACCTTGTGATGATTTCGGGACTTAATGTCCCCCATAGCCTGGTCCTCGACCAGACCACCTGGTTGCTGGACTGGTCAACCAGGCTGTTGGAGGTGGCTGCTTGCAGCCTGACCTGGGTTAAGCTCGTGTATGGTGCAAGACTAAAGTTAATTTCCGTTACCTGCCATTCTTTGGCATTGCATGTTCATCACTGAATGCACAAGGGCTTTCAATTTATTGTATTGTAACATACTTCCTTGGGTGCCGGTAAAGGGATACTTTCAATTATATTTCCTGACATAAATGAGTTGGGTATTTCTCAGCTTTGCCCTAAACTCATCTTGACATTCTGCATCATACATGGCTTGTACTTCAGCTCAGGGGCTTTCCTTTCTTCTCCAACTTAACACTTTCGCGGGATGAGGACGCACCCCGGAGTCCTGTTTCGCCTACCCGCTCCCGCATAGTGGACATAAACTTATGTCCTCTTTTAAAATATTTGTATAAAATTCAATTTTTATCCGATTTACTTTGAATTTGTTTCAAACTGCGCGCCATGAGGCTCTCTTTCTCAACAATAGGCTGCTTGGTACAATAAGTTCATGAAAGGTTCACAAACATAACAAAAGTAAAAACATTTCGTGTGTGACTCTCACTGATATGTTCCAGCGTTGTTTTATATTTGGCGCTATTCTATCTTACGCTTTGTTAATCTTTTTTTACCTACGGGCTCATAGAACATTCTATTGCGAACACATTGACACAAAAATTAATGACGTACATAGAATAATAATGTCATGAGAATGAAATAAGTATAAACTTTCAATGCGTCGTCCCGTCACTGACACCGGGTAACAATTTCACCACTTCCCACACTCTCGCGGGCGGGCCGCAATCATTATTCTACGCTTATATTCATATCACCGTGTTGGGAATTTCATTGCGAGTCCATTGATACCAAAATCAACGCTGTAGGACAAGTGTGGAGGTGATAACAATCCCAAGAGTAAAAACATTTTGTTGCTGTTGGGCGCTCACAGCGAGTCATCTTCGTAGTTATTTATTTGGTGCTGGTATCCCTATACGTTTCGTGACTTTTTTTACTGATGTTCTTCTAGAGAATTTTATTGCGAACACGTTGGTACCAAAATGAAATACGTAGCTCGAGAACTAAGGTCATGAGAGTAAAAAGAGTATACACATTTTTGTTTTTACGCTTACGCGGCAAAACACGGAGAGCACTTACGGTTGTTTTTTTTACATTCGCCAAGAGCCGGAAAGTGTTAAAAGGTTGTATGTACAGTGGGGGGGCCTCGACTTATGACCTGTCTCTGGGAACGGATTAAATTCGTAAGTCGAAAATTCATGAGTAGAAATGAATTTTTCCATTAGAAATAATGAAAATTGAATTAATCCGTTCCACACCCCCAAAAATATTAACTTTAAAATACATTTTATACCAAATAATACTACAATACAGTATGTATATCTTACCTTGAATGAGGACTCTTGTTGGCATATGGAAGACAGTGAGGAGGATGGGAGGAGGAGAGGTAGTCTTTGAAAGGGAAGTCCCCTTCCATTATAACATCAGGCAGTGATGACTTTTCTGGGGTACTGTCTCTCCTACATTTTGCCTGCATACCACTAGGACCTGCTTGTGGCTCACTGCTTGTTTTTTTCACTGAAAACCTGTCAAGCGACACTTTTTTTTCCTACATTTGTAACACTTGTCTGAAGTGAGACATCATTGTCATTAAAAATGTTAACATAATGGTCTGCTACAGCGTGATTTGGGTGACACTTTTCAGCAACACTTTTGCAATTCTTTCCATACTGCACACATTTTCTTAATAAATGAGGAAGGGATCCTCTACTCTACATCATCAACCCTCATACCATTTTCATATTTACGAATGATTTCTTGTTTTTACTCTATGGTCATTCTCACGTTTTCTTAGATTGAACCTTACCACTGACTTTCTTGGGACCATGGCGTGATATATAATAGTGTAATTACTTATGTTCAAAAAACAAAAAAGCATAAAAATTCTGAAAAATAAAATTCTTTACAAGCGCAATCATCGCTAAGCGAGTGGCTCTGGTAAACTGAGGCGGGGTCGGCCATACCACCAGGAACTCGCGCTCGGTTGACCTAAACGCGTATCAACAAAGGTTGTTAGCCGACGACACAGTTGTAAGTCGAGTCGCATTTTCCGATGAAATTTACGTCGTAACTCGAAAAATTCGCAAGTAGGGGGCTATCGTAAGTCGAGATGTCACTGTACAATACATGGAAACTAGTGCTCCATCATTACAAGACCACAATACATTTTTCTTCATGTACTGTGTGGTGACCCCTCTAAATTCCTCATCTACTCTTTAACCACACCTTGATAATTACCTCTGTTGAAAATCCAGCATGCTTTTCTTTACAGTCCTCTTACTGCCTGCTTGCAGAGGTGTCTATGCACATTCAGCAAAATTTTCCTTGTATTGCGCCCAACTTACTCCAATGGACAAACCACACGTGTAAAATTTTATACACTTTTTTACTTTTTCTTTTCAAATTGTTTTCGTCCTTAATAAGCTACAGTTCCGTTTACAGGCAGGTCTAAATCTGTCAATGGCATTTGTAATTTTTTCCAATTAAACTCTTGTGCTGACAAGGGTTTAACTTCATCCTCAAGAACAAGAGGCCATAGATTAAAAGGTAAGGAAACAAGGGTGCCCCCAAAATTTATTAAGTTTCTTTTGCAGTGATAAATGGCTGGAACATGTTAAGTGAGAAAGTAGTGGAGGCCAAAGCTCTCAGTAGTTTCAAAGCGTTATATGACAAGTTGTGTTGGCAAGACGGGACACCATGAGCATAGCTCTCATCCTTTAACTACACTTAGGTAATTACTGAAAAAATAGTTGATATAAAAATCACGGAATAGTCTGGCCACAAGGAGGATTTATTTAGCCCATCTTGACAACCATTCATATTGCCTCAAGGTACCATTCTAAATTTTTCCACTGTATAGATCAATAAACATACATAGATGGAAATTTGTAAGTAAATAAATTTTACTAACTGTTTCCTGAGAACTGTTATACCCTTGGGATGTATGTTTTTCAATGTTTGAACAAGTAATGTTGCTTGGTCAAGTTCTCATCAGTGACAGATGTTGCACAGTGTAAGTCAGCAAGAAAACACACCCTGAACTTCAACTTGTTTTATTAAAGTAAGATGAAGTTGAAGGAAGGAACCATAAACTTAATTTTAACCTGTTTTTATGCTGTGACATTAACTGCTGGGATCTGTAAATCTTAAATAAAATGCTTAAAAAAGTAAATAAATAAAATGTTTAGACCACTACAAAGTCTGGGATGAATACAGTGGAGTTTCATTATCTTCCTGTCGATTTTCACTCCATATTTACCAAAGTTGTTATCATTCCTTTAAACAATCTCTAATCCTTATTCAGAGATATCCATATATGACAAACATTCTGAACTATTGTATTGCTCAATAAAAAAAATTTGAAGCCAATGTGGCATCTTTAAAATATAAATTAGTTTACATTCGAGAAGGATATAAACTAGTGCTATACAACAGCCACAACAAGTTTACATAAAAAAAAAACTTCAGTAATTTCCCACTTCATAAAGATGGCACCTCATAGCAGAGATGTAAATTAGGTCCAGGTTTTTAACAGAGAGACTTAATACTGTACAACAAAGCACCACCACATTTCCTGATGCCTGGACTTGCCTGCCTTTTATAGCACCCATGTCTTTATGTAATGTACTTTAGTGCCCAAATATTTGTACATATATCCACTAGACAACAAACTATTTAATTCCTGAACTGAGACCATCACTGAAAACTAAATACAGTACTGTATTGCTTTTGTTTTCATAATTTTTCCTAAGTGGGTATAAATTTTGTTGACCAGTGTGCTATTGCACTTTTTTTGTTATACATATATAAAGTAATGTAATTACATAAATCAACTTCTACCAAAGACAATTTCTTTGTTAAAATTAATCTGGGATTATATTCAATACCATATAGACTAGAAAATATAAATTAAGCTAAGGATGGTTGCATATGGTGAGGATTTGGGTAAAGAGAAACCAAGGCAATTCCTGGACAACAATAATTACAACACAGTAACATAAATGAGCCCTAAATAAGAGCGACATCACCTTTACACAAAAATTGTCTAAATTAAAAAAAGAAATGAATATTTTATAAATTGTGACATTCTTCAAGTCTCAATGCTACTCTCTACTTCATCTCAATTTAGTATGTAAGCAGAAGTTGGAGCTTGCTTACAGTTGTCTCTAGTAGAGACAGCTTGTTTGATTTTTTCCACTGACCTTCCATATTAGAAGCTAATTATTCTGGTTCTTTGGAATATACTGTACAGGCAAGGCACCACTACAAAATATATAATTTTAACTTGCAAAACTGATCAAACTCTTATTACTATAGCCAATGCATTAACTGAATGCCTAAATACAGGTAGATTTCTGTAAAATTGTTTTAAAACAAGATGGGTAATATTATCCAAACTCTAACTGCATCAATATCTTACAGGTTCCAACCATCTTTAACAAAAAAAATATTGGGAGACAACTGTATCAAGAGTTGACAGCAGTGTTCCACCACAGTATTAAAATATCTATGTCACCATCTTTCCTAAAACCATGTCTTATAATTTAATTTCATTTAGCTGAATATCCTTTCTGCCATATCCCATAGCTTTGTATTATGACAAGACCCAAATAAATGTTAGTCACGTTTATGGTCTTGCCAAGAAAGAGGCAATATGCACCTTATAAAATATCTTCTTTCCAAATCCTGCCTGACAACAGGATTGAACTTTTAGGTTAGATGTACACAGCACTTCCCACTATGCTATTGCACCCAACTTCATCTCTCACTAACACAATAAATTTATAAGGAGAAAAAGTGCCCTAAGAACATCCTACGCCACAATAATGACAACAGAACAATATTATACATTTACGGATATTCAAGCATCACTTTGGTGTGATTTGTTATCATCAGTCTGAAGCTGAGTCAGACTCACATTAAGGCAACTAATTGGTGTTTTGCATGAAGTATCATTATTGGTCATACAATGCCTCGCTACAGCTTCCAAGCTGAACCTTCACATACTGCATACTATCCTGGTTATTGTATGTGCATCACCTGATAAAAATTTAGTTTTTCTTGCTATTAAACAGAAAAAAATTCTAATGTAATTTTTTTAATACAAACAGTAAACATTATTTAGATAATTTAATTACTACTCTGAGGGAGGGGAGTATTATGAGCCACAATTTAAAAATAAAGCTGAAAATGCACATTTTAAATCATTCTAGTTTGAATTCTAGCTAACTTTCACACCTAACAAAAAATGAACAAGAAAGATTTCTTGTTAATTATAAAAAATGGCAGAAAACAGCCCAATGTAACACTCCAAACTCAATATAGCACCTAAACCTCATCCTACCTCGAGACTTTCTTACTTAGTAAGGTGAGGGTGTTGGGGTTGCCTGACAAGAATTTTGGTTAGTCAGCAGCTCGTAGAACATTCATAAATTAGACCGTCATTCACTCTAACACATTAAGAGTTTAGAGGAAGTATCCAACAAGTACTAGATCAGTCCATCACAAAACAAGCATGAAATTCATTATATTCTCTATTTATTTTACTCTCCACTATTACTTTGATCCTCTTCACCTTGTCTGCGTGCTTGACGTCGATTCCTCCAGCGTTCTGCAAGCGAGGCTATAAAATTATGTATATTAGAAACTCATTTAAAAATCTCTGTACTATATGGAAATATTTGTAAATGATAAGACAATAGGTAAGAAATTGTGACAAAGGGAAAACGTGTATGAAGTCATTAATATAGATGGAGACATGGATCAAGACTTAATAGTGATAAGTTGAAAAAAAAAATGATAGCGTTGAATACTGTTTGTCTGGTTATTCATGTAAATGTTTTCATGTGCATTAAAACTCCACTATTAGAGTGAAACCTAGGCAAAATGAGCTTATAAACAAACTACTGTAATGTATTCAAGTCACTAAGGAATATTGAAGTAAAATACAATAGGCAGTTACAGAAAAATGGTCTTGAAAAGTTGGGTGGTCATTCAGCAGAGCTCCACTGTGCAAGGTGAATAGATACATTAAACAAAAAATGAGAACCTTTTGTTAGGTAATTAACATTGTAGAAAAGGGTGTACATTACATAGAATTCTGATCTATTCAGTCATATCGAACAAACCATGATATCCAACCTTGCAACAATGTTTTTTATACACACACTCACTTTTGCTAATACAAATTTTGGTTTCCAAGTTGGGAATTAGGAAGCCTGATAGACTCAAGATTTCCCTAGGCCAATGAATGACTTTCTGAAGGTGCAACCCACAACAGTTGAGCAACTCCCAAGTAACTATTCGCTGCTAAGTGAACATGCCCAAATATCTCATTGTGTGGAAATTGACTTGGACCTTCCAGTTGTGAGGTCATTGAGCTACAGGTCATGCCAGACATACACCTATTCTTTATACATTACTCACCAGATATTTCAGCATTATATTTTTTTCAGTTTATTCTAAGTGAGGTTCTGGACTTCCCTCCTCTTTTCATAACCCTCAGTGCCACTTACTCCACATATTCATACATTCTATAAGACTATAAATACAAAAAGCTTATATAACTTACTGCCACGTCTAATCTGGTTAAGTGAAGCCAACATGCGGATCATGAAGGTTGCAGGTACAGTAATTGTATCACGTGTCTCCTCTAATAGTGCCTCATTACGCTGAGTTATCTGAGGCAAAAAAATATAAATCATAAATTAAATCACATATGAAGATTACATTCAAGTTGAAGATTGAATAACTACTTTATGTTTTTAATTACCTTGTATATTTTTTAAAGATAGCAGTACTGTACTGTACAATGAAGATAATTTAGAACTCATGTGAAACAGCAAATTATGTCTGACTTTGCCTACTGTATATAAAAGCCAAATACTGTTGTAACAAAACAAATAAATAAAACAGAAATCTTAAGATGTAAGAAATAAGTGATTATCAGGAGAAAATGCTAAATCATTACAACTACCAAGTATATAACACTTGGAAGTGATATGAAGGGAAGGATTTGGGATAGGACAAACAATACTTTTATAACAAAAACATTTGGACCATTTTAAATCAAGACATGTGTAATTTTTTTTATGAACACCTAATTTGAATAATCAAAGTAAGAAAGAGAATAAAGAAAACTACAAAAGACCTATTGGCCCATACAAGTCAGTTTCTATATAGAAACATATAATTCTTTATAAAACATATGTTGTTGAATATGATCGAAAAGGTAAGATTAATAATTCTAACACAAATTTTCTCAATATTTCTTATTTTTCTTTTCACTGTCGATGGTAATTGAAAAATCAATTCTCCAAAATTCATTTTTATTTCTATTCTGACGCCTGAACGCATTTCGTAATAACTTATTACATTTTCAAAGACTTTAGTTTACACACACAACTGTAACCTGTAAACACACAAAATACGTCCATACTTATACTCGCATTTGGGTGAGGTGATATGGTACAAAAGTTTTGGGTGAGGTGATTGAAATTTACACATGATAGAACACGAACCAATAGGTATAAAAACATAAGAATGGAAGTAACTGCAAAAGGCCTATTGGCCCACAATGGTTCCTCTTGATGCTTCTATATTGGTTCGGAGTCTTGAAGTGGGTAGAATATAGTTGTGCATTAATTGGCTGTTGATTGCTGGTGTCGACTTTTTGATGTGTAGTGCATCACAGATGTCGAGCCTCCTGCTATCGTTGTATCTATCGATGATTTCTTTGTTCGTTAAGATTTCTCTGGTGATGGTCTGGTTGTGAGAAGAGATTATATGTACCTTGATGGAGCCCAGAAGTCTATGCCTTCAAATGCCCACTTGGGAACTGTAAGCCCCAAAGAACTCAGTATATAGGCAAGACAACAATGTCTCTTTCCAGGCAATTAACAATGCATAAACAACAGGGCTCCATCAAGGAACATATAATCTCTTATCCCAATCAGACCATCACCAGAGAAATCTTAACAAACAACACAGAAATCATAAATAAGTACAGCGATAGCAGGTGGCTCGACATCAGCGAGGCACTACACATCAAAAAGTCAACACCAGCAATCAACAGCCAATTAATGCACAACTATATTCTACCCACTTCAAGGCACCGTATGGGCCAATAGGCCCTCTGCAGTTACCTCCATTCTCCTGTACCCACTTCACCCAATACCCACCTCACCCAAGCCAATAAAAAGCAAGTGGTATGTCAAATGTTTCATACACAGTGTATCAAGCATATCATAAGTGTAGTGATAAGTGTAAAGAAGTCTTTGAGAATGTAAGAAGCCCTTAAGAAATGCCTCTTGGCATCAGACCATTAATAAAAATGAATTTTGGAGAATTGATATTTTTTTACCACCGACAGTGAAGGAAAACATAAGAAATATTGAAAAAATTCGTGTTAGAATTACTAATCTTACTTTTTCGGTCATATTCAACAACATATGTTTACAAGAAAGACTGCTACCAAAATATATTAATAAAATAAATAAAATAAATAAATAAATAAATAAATAAATAAATTAAATTATATATATATATATATATACACACACACACACAGTATTATGTATGTCTATCCTACACTTGAAACAATTCAGCAGTGCCATGCCAATTATGTAAATTAGACTTCCTAATCTGAGTCCAGATAAGCAGAATTCTCCTGTAACTAGTTTATTTTAAACTGTTTAAGATACTTGCATAGTGAATTTCATATTACTTTTTTTTACACTTAAAGCTGGTTACTTTACTAAGAAAACCTCTCAAAATATACATATTTTCACCTGACAAGCATATATGCTTCATTTTACGTAATTAAACATATTAGCAGAAAAGAAAGTACTGTACTGTATTTAAAAAACTATAAATTTTTAACCCCAAATTTATAGTTTTGCCTCACCTCTTGAGCCTTAGTTTCATCAAAACGAGATTCTTCACACAAAGGTGCCCAGAGTTTCAGATCATAGTCAATGCCTGATGTAGCCAGGACTGGGAGAGTTGGGTGTGGTTGTAGGCAGTTTACAACATGTCGATCAGCCTCCCACAGCATCACTAGCCGCCCAGTCTTACGCTCCCAGACAAAAACACGACCACAGTCTGAACCCGACATGACATGATGATCTCCCCAGAAACAAGCTTCTTTTATCATAGTTCTAAAATTTTAGAAAAAAATCAGTGGAATTAATATTAAAATTATATATAACATATGCTTTGTTAATTTTGCTAGGTAGATTGAATACACATCAGCATTAGAGATTATTCTAAAGGTTTACATTTACATGTCAGAAGTACAGCACTGCTAAGATAGCATTATGTATCATGGTTTATTTTATATACAGACAATACCACAACTTGCAATAACAGTCCTATAATTTGCACACCTCGGGATTGAAAGCCACTGAACATGGCGACAATTTTGATATACAGTAGTGATGTACAGGTACTGTCCCAGCTCTCCATCCCCAAATACTACCTTCATGTCCAAAAATATATTACAATACCAGCTCATTAAATAAACCAAAGAAAAGCATCACTATATAGGTTAATAACATAAGGAAAATACAGTCTCTCACAGGTTATGAATGGGTTTTATTCCCACATTTTTGGGAATGTTTGGTCATATTGTCTTACATATGATGCCTCTGTTCACCTACCAGTAAATAGGTACCTGGTAATTAGGCAACTGTTGTTGGTTGCATCTTGGAGGAAGGTCAGTCATTCCCACCCTGAAAACTTTAACAGGCTTCCTGTTACCAATGATTAAAGCCACCTTATATACTGTACTCATAAAATTAACACTTTGGCGTACCCCGCGCGCCACCCTTCAACTGTGCGATATGGGAACCAGGGTGTCACGGGAGCGCGTGTAAATTCCGAAAAGTGTATACTCTCTTCAACTTTGTCACCTTAATTCTCGTCCTACGAGATTAAATTTGGTATCATTGTGTTCGCAATAGAATTCTCTACAGCACTAAATGCATATAAACTCCAAAAGCCCGGCTAATTACCCGCAGCAAACAGAGAAAGTGCGAATGAGTTACCCAGGAGTGCGCAAACGCGATAAAATGTTTTCACTATTTTCACTCTGGTCACCTCAATTTTTGTCCTAGGTCTTTCATTTTGGTCTCAATGGGTTCGCAATAGAATTCTCTAGAGGAACATTAGCATATAAAATAAAAAACCTGGTCACGCTCCAACCGCCGACGAGTTGAAGACGGGCCACGCGTTAGCCGCGAGTGAGCGCTCAGACGCCTTCCAGCTACACTCCCAATTCCCTTCCTTTTCAAGCCTTTCTTTCACAATTTTCTTCCTGGAAGGGCCTTGTTCATGATCACTATCCATCGTGGAGTAAGCGTAGATAGTTTCTAAAGCCGCAGTAAGAAATATAGCCACGGAAAATAGACGAAATGTTCACACGTTTGAGATGTGAGGGGAGGCGACATTGGTCACAACAGTGGAGCGAAAACAATGGGCCGACAACGTGTGCCAAGCCACCTGAGGGCCACGAGGCTCAACAAAGAAAATGGGAAGACATCGGCGCACATTTTAAAACCAGTCCCCAAAAAATCGGATAAAAACCTGATTTTTGGCGATTATTTAAAGTGGATGACGCAATGCTGCGTCATCCCCGGTATTACCGCCAGTAAACGGATGACGCAATGCTGCGTCATGCTCGGGCGAAAGTGTTAAGGAATATATGTAGAACTATTTCTAAAAATTAAGATGCTGCATTACATAGACATGTAACTGTATGGATTAAAACTAGTAATTTTAACATGCAGTTGAAAATCTAGGCCATAATGGGTTGGAATAATGTTGACAAATCAGTATAAAACAGAAAAAGTTGTCAAATAAAAATGAATATTATACAATGTATAATACACTGTATAAGCATAAAATTTAACAAAGGGCAAAACGGTGAGCAAAACCTGACGAGGAGCAAACTTAATAAGGACCAAAACTGTATGAACACCATAAAATAACAAGTAACATAATAAAGTGGCTTTAGGAGCAAAGTGCAAGTCAGTGACATCATGGTCCTGACTTCTTAGTAACTCACTGCACCAGAACTTTAGCTTATTTTCTTTAAATTTTATAGAAAATTTTCAAAACAATTTTGCAGATAATAAACATAATTTTGATCCTTACTGAACATACACCATTATTCATACTATTAATGAAAACTGAAATATTAAAACATATAATTGAAATTACAGATGTTGGAATGTCTTCAAAAGCTATATGCAATGCTTTACTGCACAAGTAACTGGCCAGTGCAGGTTACAGTCTTAACATGGAAAACAGGGTAATGGTGATGAATGCAATGTTTGTAGGTTAAAAATCATAATTTAGTGTAACTAAACATGTAATATCTAAAGATAATAATATCTAAAAGTTCATAACATCTAAAGATACATAATATCTAAAGACAAAAAATATCTATAAATATGAAATCTCTAAAGAAATGTAACATGAAACAATAAAAGTGCTAAATGTGGTGAGTACAGCATCACGGATAACTGAACTAACCTGGCATTTCTATGGCCTTTGTAACACTGTTTCACAGCTGCCTGTGGTACTGTATTTTCTACCTCGCCTCCAACACCTGGGGCACGCTCACCTCGCGCACGCTGAACTGCACGCTCAATTGCACTAGCCATGCGCGCACTGGCAGTCCTGATGACACATTTCTCAAGTCAACAGATGAATGTACAATGACAAATGTATGGAGACTAGAAAAGAAAATGTCAAACAGGTTCCACACCCTATAATATTAATAGCATATAAATACTGCTAAACAAATGACTGAAATGCTATATACTGAACTGTTAAGGTCTTTATGAATGGTACAAGATTATTATTATTTCTCTATTATTATTGCAGCTGTTAAGAGATGTAGTGGCAGCATTGTCCATCATGTGGTGCAATCATCCACATAAATGAAGTTAGAGTGTATTAATTGTTCTCCAATTTGATGTCTTCCTATCTCATGTATAATTATTATGAACAATATATATGGCACATACAACCCCAAGACATCTTACCTGGCACTTGTTGACTCATCATCACTGTCATCATCTCCAAAATCTGTAAGAGAAATGTTACATTATAGCAGACTTTGGATTCAGTCAGCTGAAACACTGACCACTAAGGCCAAGGTTACTACTATAACAGCCTTCAGAGAAGCAGCCTTAGAGATTATTTGTCTTACTTCGGATTCGTATACCTTGGGAAGAGTGACTATATTATTCCCTCCCTTCTATTATTCCAACCATTGGAATCATTGAGATGTAAAGGAACCTTCAGGATTATTATGTTCTGAGTATAAGGGACCAGGTTAGTTGAGATCTGCAAAATACAGGTTCACAGGCACATGAACCACTAAAATTATAATTTTCCTTTCCTTGGAAGATGGGTCAGATATCACACCAGATTGAGCAAACAGCTCTTTTTCCAGAAACGTTTTGCTAAAACATTTAGAATATTATTGAGTTCATGCTACCACAAAATGACCAAAGTTTATTAAACTACAGATGGTCTTTTAGAGATGGTCTTCTCACAAGTCGAGCCTGGCCTCGGGCCGGGCTTGGGGAGTAGAACAACTCCCAGAACCCCATCAACCAGGTATCAACCAGGTCTACACTTTTCCCATACAATATTCTACGGCTGAGGTTACCTAGTTATGAGCCATCTCAGTGAAACAACTACAGGGAGCCACAAGGGGCTCCTCCAGAAAAGTAAATTACACTGCTAAATTGGATAAACCATAAAAAATAATTCTCTATAAGATTAGGAAGAAGCTTCCACTAAACATTCCAGCAACAATCTTTCTTCCACTAAACATTCCAGCAACAATCTTTAAGTAAATGAACAATAAAAGAAAGTGTTTACATTACCAAGAGCAGGTCCTAAATTTAATTCACTGGCTCTTGTCCCATGACTAGATGAACCCGCTGCTACAGATTCAGAACCCAGTCCTCCGCGTCCTGCCTGACTAGATGACGATGGTTCTACTTCCATATCACAGATGGCTGGACTAGAGCTTGAGGTGGGTAATATATGAACTTTGGTCGCAGTGGGGTGACGCGAAGACGAAGATGAGGATGATAACGATGAAGAGGAAGATGAACACGAGGCTTGTTCAGGTGCATTTCCTTCACAAGGTTGGTGGGACTGTGAGATCTGGTTTGACTGAGGCTGAACTGAGCTAGGTAGTGAATCTGGCTGGGAGCTGCTAGGTTCTTCGTGGTGCGGACCACTACCCCGGGATACTTCGTCGCCAACTCCCAAACTTATCATACCACTGCCAACCCCTCGTCCTGAGTAAGACAGATTCACAGATGGTTCCACCTGATGTCTGAGAGAAAAATGTGTTATTTAAATTTTGCACTAATAGCAAATTAGAATTATTTACATTTTAAAAGCTATTTAATATAATTTTGAATAATAAGGGATTCATATTGTATATTCATGCAAATTTCACTTTATATTGTTTGTAAGAATTATAACCTTTAATTTTGTTCTTTCTTCTTTAGTGAGACAATACAGTATACAGTGCTGTACTTGATGCGAGAACTACATTTTATATTTAATAATAGAGTAAGATTACTCAAAACAAAAATATAAAAGATTGCAACATAAATTAAAATTTATGTTGAAATTAAAACCGTTCCAAAAAACCAGTGTTGAATGTAATGAAACGCCATTTTCTGGCGAGTCCTGGAAGCTTCCCGGAGCTATCCAGGCTGATATGTATCTCTTTAGAATTTGGCTTCAGTCAAAGTGGGTGGAGTTCTAGGCCTACCGAGGACCACGAGTCAGAACCTGGCCCTCTCAGAGAGGCACGAGGAGCAATGGCCTATAGAAATGCACATGTGATTTGGAGAATTTTATATCTGCCTTCGACCGAGATAGGTAGACAAAGCATTCTATGTCTGCCATCGACCGGGTCTGGCACCCAGAAAGGTAGGTACCCAAAAACAAACCCTTTTTCTGGTGAAAATATTGCTACCAAAAGTCGAACGAGTGGACAGAACTCCCCAAACGAAAATTAGCAAACGAGCATGACGTCGTCACGTTGCCACGCCAATGTCTGAGCAACCCCGCCCCCTCCCCAGGAGGAGGAAGGGGAACCCCAGACCCTTGCGCCAGTGATCCACCCTTCAGTTCTTAGGCTGGATGTCAAAATATGCCACAAACACCGCCAACCAGAGGGAGGGAGGGAGGGTGCCAGAGAGCCTCCAGGTCTCACCCAGAAAATGGTGCTTCTTTACATTCAATGCTGGTTTTCTGTTGGAAGCCCCATTGGCGCCCCGGAGCTATCTCACCAAAGATAAGGAAATGGAGGGAAGGATCCGCGAAGCAGATGTCACGCGCCCTAGACTCAAAAGCAAGACAACCGGTAAAACCGAAGGACTCTGAGGATGACCCGGGACATCCGAACCCTTGAACAGTAAGGAAGGAAGGGAACCCGCGCAACCCAAAGCGTGTCCATGGCCACAGAGTCTATGATGCGCAGAGAACTACGGAGAGCCGCAACCGAATACAACACACGATGCACCCCCGGCCTGACCAACCAAGCATCAACAGTCCAAGGACCCCTTTGGAAAGCAGCAGACCCATTCAGCACCAGAAAAGAAGGAGACGGCTGCAAACAACAAACCTTAACTGAAGGGGCCACAACAAACCAAGAAGAAGAGGCTGGTCCGAAGACCAGGATGGCTCAGGCGGCTAATGAGCAGGCTGGAGGTGAGCAAGGCACGAGACAGCTTGCGGAACAGAGTAGAAGTAACATCAATACCGAACGCAAGCTGAAGCGACTCTGCCAGCGCTGCACGATATGAGGCAACAGTATTCGGCATAAGATGACGGTCCTGAAACAACCACGAAAGGAAGGACAAAACAAACCTATCAGAGACTGAAGTACAGAACACCTATGCAGTGATAGGAAAAATCGAAAGGACCGCAAGGAAACTTCATACTGCCACCGAGACGAAGCATGTAGGTGGGAAACCAACAATGAATCGAGTCAGAAACTCGATTCCAACTCGAAATGAACCGAGTCAGAAACTCCAGATGCAAAGACCCGAGGAGAAGAGCGAACCAGCCTCGTACCAGGCTGGACCGATCTGCTGAAAGAGGTGGAGCTGCGGGAAGACCCTCAGGTTCAGACACCAAGCAAGCAGCGCCTGAAACCAAGGCTGGATCAGCTACCAAGGAGCTAGAAGGACAACTCTTCCCTGGTAAGTCTTCAAGTGAGCTAGGACTTCGAGCAACAGCTGAACAGGGAAAAAAAGAGGTACAGGGAACCCCACCTCGCCTAGTCCTGCCTGAAGGCATTGACCCCGACGGCCTCCCAATCGGGGAAGGGCGCCACATATACTGCAAGACGCCTCGACCACTCCGACGCAAAGAGAACACTTCCGGAGGCCTGATTGTCCGGCAGAGCCAACTGATCGAGTTGGCGTCGACTATCCACTCAGTGGAAAGGGAAATGAAGCAGGACAGATTGTCCGCCAGGACATTGGACACCCCCCTCGAACGGGAACTGCCAGGAGAGCCAAACCCCGAGAACTCAACAGAGGAATCACCAGAAGCAACCAGCCCCAAGGAGCCAAGGACCACATTAACCCCCACGGTTCAGTCAATGAACCACCGAAGAACAGTCCAAATGGAGCCGGATCGTCGATCCACGAGCGACCTGAATCCTCTGGAGCGACATCCACACAGCCACGAACTCCCGCACCATACTGTGAGCCTGACGGAAGGACAGAGCTCACTGTCCCTGGCCGGCTTGGTGAGTACTGGTCACAAACCCCCGGCCAAGAGACGACGCATCCGTGAACACATCGTGTGAGAGCTCGGGTAGGCGCTAAGGCACTGAACCCCGAAAAATCCTAAGAGGAAGCCGACGATGCAACAACTGACACAAAGCCCCCGGAGGCTGAACCCAGCAGTCGCGAGAGAGGCGGAAGGGACGTCCCCTCAGGAACCAGAACAGCCGACGAAGTCATACCCGACCCGGCGGGGAGACCATCAAGGCAAAGTTCAGGCTCCCACACAACTCCTCGAGCAACCTCCGCGTGACCCGGGAGCCCCTCAGGAACAGACGAAGGCAGGAACGCAGGCGAAGCAGAGTCGCTGGAGGAAGAGACAAGGAAGTGGACTGAGCATCCCACACAAGTCCCAGTCAAGACCGAACCTGAGAGTAAGCCAGATGGGACTTCCGCCAGTTCACCAAGAACCCGAACCTGGAGAGCTGGGCAAGAACCAAATCCCTGGCGAGCAGACAAGCGGACTGGCTGGGAGCCCAAACCAGCCAGTCGTTGAGATAGGTCAGAACCCCGAACACCTAACAGACGCAGGCAGACCACCATGACACAAGTAAGGCATGTGAAAATGCAAGGCGCCAGATTCAAGCTGAATGGAAGGCAACGAAAGTGATGACACCCCACAACAAAACCAAGCCAGTCCCTAAATCTCGAATGAATCGGGACATGCCAATACACGTCCTCGAGGTCAGGGACATTATCCAAGCATCAGGCTCCAACGGAAGACAGACCTGGGACAGAGTGGACATCCGAAAGGAGAGGCAATAACTCCACAGGTTCAGACGGGACAAATCTAGAATGAACCGGAGGTCTGTGCAGACCCGTTTTGGGATCGGAAACAGGTGGGAAACTCACCTGAGGGACGAGGTCATTTTGACCACGCCCAAGCAAACCCACGCCGAGATAACCCAACAGAGCGCAGGAGAAGAGTTCTGCCCCGCCAGTCCCGAACCCCCCCTGAAGGAGGAGGAGGAGCCACCCAACACCACCGCAGGCTGCACGAAACAACCCGAAAGGCCCACAAATCATGGGACCAGACACGCACAAATAGAGCGAGCCTCCTACCCCATTGCCCTGTCAATGGGACAAACTGCGAAAGGGCCGATGCACCTTACGAACACATAAACGGCACACAGGGCGATCCCCGTGCCAAACAGAGACAGACGGCACCGAAGGCTGCACCTGCGCCGAATCTGGCACCATTGGCGTACCACGACAGAAGGTAATAGCTTGGGGTTATTACCGTTGTAATAACCCCGAGCCCTGGCACAACCCTTCCAGGAAGGATCCCCACGAGCCCCCCCTGGAGGACTAACAAATCCCACGTAGGACGGCAACTAGACAAAGCTGCCTGCGGATACTACACAACTGCAGACTCTGCAAACAGCAACGGGCAAAAAGACAAAGAAAGCCTAAAAGCCAGAACCCATGCTGATTCCAGGGACGAAGTGAGCACCACCTGCAGACACGTGAGTCGGGAAGCCAAAAATCGCGAAACCGCATCCCGCAGGATCAGTGCGAACAACTTCAACAAGGCAGACGACGCCCACACCACCAAGGGCAATGCACCAGACCCAGAGGTGGCCCCAAGCTCTTTCACATCCAATTCAAGCCAGTCCGATGACAACTTGAGCAGGGAGAAAAAACGCAGAGCCGAAGCTAACAGGCTACGCGTATGCAAGTCCTCCACGACCAATGCAGCCGAAAGGGAGGGAACTTGCACATGGAGCTGCACCACACCAATATCCCGTGGAAGGGCAGGGGCAAACAAGCATTCATTGAGATGCTCAAATTTGTTCCCCAGGAAACCCTGTAATGCCATCTGAGCCTCCTGCCACTCAAGCATGCTGGACCGACAGAACGAATGCCAAGCCTCCAAAAAAAAAAAAAAAAAAAACGTGCTGTCTGCTAACCAGGACGACTCTAGAACTTCATGATAAAACCTGGAAGGACAAAAAGATACATACACTAAGGAACGTGGATCCATTACAGGCATTATCCAGGTTGCGCAGGAGGTAAGCCACAAGGGCTTCCCGCACCACATGGGACAGGACATGGGAAGCTGAAAACCTCCAGAAAGACAGAACCGAAGAACTCATGGTATCATGGAACAGAACCCGGGAAGGGGTATACACCAAATCCAATTCGTACAAGGAGGGAGAGAAAGAGAACCCCACTCCTTACAACACCAAGCCCCGCTACGAGGGTACAAAAACCAAGGCGGGGTCCAACGGGGCCCAAGGCCCCCAAGTCAACCCCTTCCCCGCCATGGGAACCTTACTCTGAGGACCTGAAGCCGAGCCGTCCTCCAAACCCCCCCACCTCTAGAGAAAAAGCAGGAGCTCCCGAAAGAGCAGGATCGAAGGGGGCACACTGGTCAGACCCAGAAGCTCTGGCTGGAGGACCAGGCTCGAATGCATCCACTGCCACCCCGGAAGGGAATTCCACCCCCCCCCCAAAACCGCTTGAGTCTCAACACCAAGACCCTGCCCCGACTCCGAAACCCTCAGATGCTCCTGAGCCAGAAGCAATGGGAAGGGGGGGGGGGGGGAAGGAGGAGGAACCGGACGCACAACAGAAGGGGAAGGATATGGAGGGGCGGACGGAACCAAAGTCGAAGCAACTCTCACCCCCAAGTCTGGGTCCCCATAACCAAAACGGGGCAGTCTCGGGGCAACCGGAGAAGCAACTAACCAATCGCGTTGCAGCAACCTAAACCTACCATGCAATGCCTCAACTGCCTGCACCCTCATGTCATAATCAGTAGCTTGGGTGAACTAGAGCACGTACAAACAACAAACGTCGCACGACTCCGGGTCAAATGAATCACCGACCCTACAGGCAGCATGGCAGAGGCACAACAGGTGATTGTCACCCTGAGACAAGGAAACAGGGCAACCATCAACCTCGCACGATGCGAGATGGGACTCATGGGTTGTATCCATCAGACCACAAAGCCCCCGCGGGGTTTCCCAGAGTCCTTAGCTTTGGTAACAGGCTAAGGGAAGGCCAGGCAGGGTACAACTTACCGGCACTCCAAAACTACCAAACCAACTGTTAATAGCTGCACCCCGGGATATACACCTGCGGGGGGCCTAACAGAGGACCACCGAATAACAATAGGGCTCTACTAACCAAGAGGTAGACCCTCACCAGGCAACAAAAACAAACAGAAAAAAAAAACCATAAGAGGACAACATGCCCAGGCGGAACAGAGCCGGCTGCTATGAGAGGTAATGACTAGCTATGCTGTAACCTGCGTCCCTACCAGTGACAAAAACTACCTCCTACCCAGAGGCAAACAAGGGCAAACAAAAACCCCAACTGACTCCAAGGGCGGCTAAGTATTGAGCAGTAAGACACAGCGGAGGTAGACCCAAAGGGGACTTGTGGAAGTTGGCCCCAAGCCCCAAGGGCAGTGCTTACAGGGCACCTATGGAAGGAAACCCTAGGCACATGCAGCTCGAGTACTAAAGATTATTACTCCTGACTCACTCACCGACCTTAGAGACAGAACAGCACCACAAGGCATAAAAACTGAGACAAAATCTGGAGCCAGAGGCACATGACCTCGCCAGTATCACATCAGCCAAGAACTGAAGGGTGGAGCACTGGCACGAGAGTCTGGGGATCCCTTCCCCTCCCAGGAAGGGGAGGTTGCGCAGACAGCGGCGCGGCAATGTGATGACGTCATGCTCTTTTGCTAATTTTCGTTTGGAGGGTTCTGTCCACTCGTTTGGCTTTCGGTAGGAATATTTTCACCAGAATAGGGGTTTGTTTTGGGGCACCTACCTTTCTGGGTGCCAGACCCGGTTGATGGACCCGGGAGCCGGTCGGCCGAGCGGACAGCACGCTGGACTTGTGATCCTGTGGTCCCGGGTTCGATCCCGGGTGCCGGCGAGAAACAATGGGCAGAGTTTCTTTCACCCTATGCCCCTGTTACCTAGCAGTAAAATAGGTACCTGGGTGTTAGTCAGCTGTCACGGGCTGCTTCCTGGGGGTGGAGGCCTGGTCGAGGACCGGGCCGCGGGGACACTAAAGCCCCGAAATCATCTCAAGATAACCTCAAGATGGCAGACATAGTCCCCGTGGTGTAGTGGTTAAGACGCTCGCCTGGCGTTTTGCGAGCTCTTTGTCATGGGTTCGTATCCTGGCTGGGGAGGATTTACTGGGTGCAAATCCTCAACTGTAGCCTCTGTTTAACTCAACAGTAAAATGGGTACTTGGTTGTTAAACGATTTTTCGCGGGGTCGTATTCTGGGAAACATAGGATTAAGGACTTACCCAAAATGCTACGTGTACTAGTGGCTGTACAAGAATGTAAAAACTCTTGTATGTATAAATAAATAAATAAATAAAAATAAATAGAATGCTCCCAACCACACGGGGGTTTCTATAGGCCATTGCTCCTCGTGCCTCTCTGAGGGTGGGGGAGGGGGTGGCCCAGGTTTTGGCTCGTGGTCCCCGGTAGGCAAGAATTATATGCACAGTGACTGATGCCATAAAGCTAATATATCCATATCAGCCTGGATAGCTCCGGGGAGCCGTCGGGGCTCCCCCCAGGAAATGGAGTAATGTTCAACTAACAGTTTTAGAGACTGCCTTTCCACTATGGGCAGGGATCAACTTTGACAAAAATCTATAGAAAATGAAACAGTAAATAATAAGAGTATTAGTTTGGCTTACTTTTGTACAAATCCTCTCCTGAGCGATGAAATCCTATTTTGTAAACCCTCCAAATTGGAGTCTATTACTTTTTCTTGAACAGTTGTTGGATGTGTGCTATTTATGGATACCTCATCCACATGGCTACTTGCTTCACATTTTGAACTATTAATTTCCATATCATATGTTGTGACTTCATTTGTATCAGATTGTGATGGCAGAGATTGCTGCTTTGTTGAACTTGATAAGCAAGAAAATGCTGTTTTGTCTGGATAAACTATCTGTGATTCTGTTTCTGAAGACTTTGAGCCACTAGAACTGTCAATGTGTGAGCAAGAAGGAGTAGCTTCCAAAGTGGGGGAATATGGCGCAACCTCTTCTGCAGAGCCTTCGACCGGCGGTGAAGCATGTGGAATCTCATTTGCAAGGTCTGATGTAGATGGCTGAGCATCCGTGTTAGATGATGGTGACTGATCACCTTCTGCACCAACATCAATATCACCACCTGTTTCTATGAGAGAATTTGAACGGTTTTGAGAAGATTCAGATTCTGAGGCTGAACGCTGGACTGAGGCTCTTGTTCCAGGGTCATTTAGCATACGAGATAAAACGTCTGTCATTCTTTGCATGAGTGTAGCATGCAAAGTTGGCCTTGCTTGTCCAACATCTGTGGGAAAAAGTAATTTTTATTTAAATTTCACATCAAACTATGAGATGATGACATACTATGAGCATGAAAATTTGATTCTTAAAACACCTGAAATGGAGAATAAGAGAAACATGCATGGTTTTAGGAGAGAAAGAATAAGGAATGAAAATGTCAAATAGAACTTAAATTCAAATGCCAGTCAATGAGTGTAAAGGGAAAGTTTTATCCTGCTGAATGAAAACATTTTTAGAAAGCAGTGAGGAAGCAAATTGTGTGTAAATAATGAAGAGGAAGTGAATGTTTGACACAACTGAACATGAAGCTGAGGTGCAGAAGATATGATAAATGAATACATGTCACTCTTAATAACTAACTATATTTTCCTGTTACACAAAACAGAAAAGTAAAATTTATTGTAGTACACTAACAATGTTATGATAACTTTAAACCTATAATTCCACCCCATAGAGCCATTCAACCCTTTATAAAATTGTTTACATGACTAACAATATATAACAAGAAGCTCTGTGATATCTCCTTGTGACGTCAAGCTCCTATAGTATTATTTAGCAACACACCACCTGCGGTTACCTTGCAGTGATCAAGATCCCCGAACCTTGATCAGGGAATCAAGGTACGCGCGGCCTGGTCTCTGACCAGGCCTCCTGACCTTTGAAATATATATTGTATTAAGCTTGCATCCTAATGTAGTGGAGTACATTTTGCATCATTATTGATACTATACAAAAATCTTATCAAAGGGCTTATTATTCTAGAAATATTACACAAACTAGATTAAGTCTTATCCAATTGATGTTCAAACAAAACAAAAATTCACAATTTTGAGTTTGTGAATCAAAATTGTACATGAAAGGCAAACTCGTCTCACCTCCTGCTTGGTTTCGCATCTCGCTTTCAGGTAGTGCTTGTGGGCCAGTGTCAGACCAGTCACCACGCAAACGAAGGCGCTTGAGTGTGGGGCCCGAATTGTTATCTAAATCATTATCTGCAGGAGCTCCTGAGGATACTTCCTTATAACTCTGAAAATGATTGATGAAGTAAGTAACTCGTGCATTATTAATAAATGATCTAAAGTACAGTACGTACCTGTATTCTAAATCTAGAGGAAACTAGATTTATTCCTCCAAGGAGTGCCGGACCAACCGGGCTGTGGTGGGTATGTGGGCCTGCGGGCCGCTCCAAGCAACAGCCTAGTGGACCAAGCTCTCACAAGTCAAGCCTGGCCTCGGGCCGGGCTTGGGGAGTAGAAGAACTCCCAGAACCCCATCAACCAGGTATCAACCAGGTATCAACTTCAAGGTGGTTCTCAAACTACACAATAAGTGTAATAATTTTAAAAAAATCTGGTTCCAATCTACACAATAGTATTATACAAAGACCGGGCCTTTACAGTTTGAGGAAAAATCAGTAGCTTCTATGCTTGTCATTGTTTATGCTGGCCAAATGGTTATCTTGAGATGATTTTGGGGATTAGTGTCCCTGCAGCCCGGTCCTCGACCATGACCCCCAGGAAGCAGCCCGTGCAGTTGTCTAACTCCCAGGTACCTATTTACTGCTAGGTAACAGGAGCATCAGAGTAAAAGAAACATTTTACCCATTTGTCTTAGCCTCCACCGGGGATCGAATCCGGAACCTCAGGACTATGAATCCGAAGCACTGTCCACCCAGCTGTCAGGTACTTTGTTCCAATTGCTTTAGAGCAATTTCCTCTTGTATATAGAACAGCAGATTACCCAATTCATTTGCATTCCTTAACCTGCCTGTTTACACTGACCATAAAAGCCAAATCTATGCAAAGATCCAAAATGCAACAGGAAAAAGTGATTGGAAAGAATGTGGCAAGAGGTAGGGGACCTTCCATAGGTGTCTAAGATGGTTTCCAATAGGTAAATAGTGTACAGTCAGTTCTTGCTATATACAAGTTTGGTATCAGTGAAATTTCACTATTCACAATGTACAAATTTAATACCAAACTTCACAAAACATGAGAGCCAAGATCAATAACTGCAAGTTGGCATCAATTTTCATGTACAGTACAGTATTTTATGCATGTTTTGGATTATGTTCTTGCATCATGATTTCTCCCAAGTTTTCTGCAATACTTGCTGCACCCTAAGGCATTTACTCTCATCTACATCACTGATTATTGTATTACATATTTACTTTATACATGTACAGTATAATTGTGACTGGGAAAATAAATTATTCTACATCATAGATGCACAAATCTACTTTATACTGTACAGTACAAGTCTGGATGGAAGGTGGCAGAATACTTAGTAATATTGTTTAGAGTTGTTTTATTTAGAATGGAAACATTTTTATTTTGGGAGATCTCTGGAAAGCATCTAAATTTTTCTCATATAGCCATAAGTTCTATGGGAGTGTTCAATATAGAGATAAAAGGATGTCAAACATAATTTTGTACATCCTAAGATACCTTTGTGAGACCAAAATTGGATTATGCAGCAGTTGTATGGTGCCCATATCTGAAGAAGCACATCAGCAAGCTGGAAAAAGGCCAAAGGCATGCAACTAAATGGTTCTCGGAACTGAAAAACAAAAGCTACGAGGAGAGGTTACAGGCTTTAAATATACCAAAGCTAGAACACAGAAGAAAGAGGAAAAATCATCAATTACTACATACAAAATAGTAACAGATGTTGAAAAATTTGACAAAGAATTTTTTTAAAACTGCAACTTTAAAAAAAAGATGACATAGGTTAAAACTAAGGAAACAAAGCTGGCAAAAAAATTACAAAGTTCACTTTTGCGAACAGTGGTAAGTGATTGGAACAAGTTAAGTGAGAAGGTGGTGGAGACCAAAACCGTTAGTAGTTTCAAAGTGTCATATGGCAAAGAGTACTGGGAAGACAAGACACCACAAGCATAACTCATCATATAACTTCATATGATGAAAAAAATATGAACATAATAAATTAAACTACATAAGGCATAGCTATTGGTCCATACAAGGCAACTCCTATTTATATCCACTCAAACCCATTCATATACAGTACTGTATACCCCTGTATGTCTAACCTATGCTTGAAACACTAACAATTCCATGACTTATTATGTTACCCAGTAAGTTGCTCCAGAAGTTAACAACCTTGTTTCCAATCCAGTATTTAACCAGGTCTTTGTTGAATTTGAACTTTTCAAACCTGTGTCCACTGTTATGAGTTCTATCCTGAACTGACACATCCAAAACCCCATCCACATCCCCTGTGTTATACCTTTTCATCCATTTGGGTGGCTGAAGTGGTACAATAAGAGGGACACAGGCGAGGCTTCAAATGTGCCAACGCAGGATGGAGCTCAAAACAGTATATAAACATACTTGTATATAATATTGTGGACAAAATGAGCATACTAGTGAAAGAACCTCAGAATATCAATAGCAAAATTTATGTACAAAATATACCCTAGGCAAAGCATGAACAACTTCACCCTAAACATTAAATCTGACACTTTAAGACATGAACACACTGGAAATGATTAGAAGCAATCTTAACATCTGCACCTCTTCAAAATGGCTTGGTGGCTAAGCACTTTGCTTATACAGTACTCAGAAGTTTCAAATATTGGAGCCAAGCTGAGCAACATATCTTCAAGGTACAGTACACAGTTCCAGTGTTAAAGCAGTGCTGAAGTCCTGCATAGTAATGTTAACAACTCTGTGAGGAAAAGCTAGGTCATGACAGGAAGATGATAATGTCTATGGTCTACCTTCCTTCATTAATGTTTGTATCACCATGTTGTGCGGCACACTTTTATGCGCGTCAATATTTGAGTTTCAATTTAACTATGCACATGGATTATTATAGCTGCCATAATTCTTTTCAACAGTTTTTACTTTCATAATAGTAAGATTCTAAACAGCTCTTACTGTATTTCCTATTCTTAAGATATTAATATAACTGATGAATAATTTAGTCATCACATTTATCTATCACATCTAAGATACTATGATAACTAATGCACAATTTTTAAATACCTGTACTGTAAATTCAAATACAATCTTTACACTTATTACAGTAGCCATGCACTATGTCTATATCTATGTTATCGACTTAATGAATTTTCTCTTAACATTACCCACATCTGAAATTCTCAGCAAGCTATAGAAACTATATTAGTAAGCCTCTACCTGTGTGTCAAAAAGGTACAAGTAATCTGACGAATAACTGGCGAGAACTTCCTGTCCATCTTGACTGTAACGCAGGGATGTCACACGGTGATTCTTCCCTTCCATATTGTCTGGCTTAAGCCGCATTAAAAGTGCTCGGTCAGTCTGCTCCAAATACGAGTCTGAAGGAGAAATTCAAAATTAATTAAAAATCTATGGATTATTAACTGTTTAGTAACTCGTTAAACAGCAAAGAAGGAAATGCCTGCAGAAATTTTCTACACTACAGAACTTAAAATATTTTACTCCCTCTACACATATACATTGCTGCTAAATGTCTGATGGACTATTTAAAAGTAAGAAAAATAAGAAAAGAATTCTATAGATTGGCTTAGCTTATCTTTTTAATGCCTAGAAGGTTGCAAAGGAGAAATATACAATGTACAACTTCACCAACATGATTGTAACATCACCAAGTGATGCAGCTGTGCACTATACTCAAGTGGAGCTGCACCCTGTAGAGGAAGAGAGCATAAATTCATGAAGATCAGATGGATGCGTACCCTAGTTTACAAAAGTAGCCACAGAATGACTGACAAAGTTTTGGAAAAAACTAAGACCTTTCCTTGTTTGGTGTAGTGTTTAGAAGACTGTATCAAACAGAGCAAAAGTTCAGCCTTTGCTGAACCTTTCAGGCTTTATATCGGAGGATAGTCAAACATAAATGGCAAGTGGATGTAAGCATATTTCATTATTAAACGACTTCACACTTTGAGAAAGTTACCTTTTTAAACTCACAATCGCCTTTAAGAAGAAAAAAAAGAAGCTAATTCGACGAAAGATCTATTTAATGGGTACAGTATAACATACTCATACTAGGGATAATATAACATACTCATACTCTAGTCTTCCTTCAACATCAGTGAAGCAATTGCTTACAATAGTATAATTGCTATTAAAAACTTCAATTAAGACCAATTTTACAAAAAATGGAAGTAAAGTTTTAAAGTGTTGTAATAAGTATATATAATTTCTAACTAAGATTTTCTATCACATTTGAGAAAAGTTAGAACAAGAAATGAACATCCAACAAAACTATGACTCTGTAAATTCTCTAGTTAGTAAAAAACAGAATAGCTTTGTGTGTATATGAGAGTACAAGAGGTATGTTAGTGACTATGAATACTGTACATTAATTCAAGAATGTTGGACAGAGAGAGAGAGACTGTATGTACAGTAATTATGCTCCAGTGTGTAAGGCTGTTACAGTGGAGAATGAGAGGAAAGAGTTCTGAAATCATTTGAATGATTGTGGGGAGCTACAAGATGGTAGGAAAGTTCTATGTACTCGAGTACAGTGTACTGTTATACTCGAGTCGACCTTTCCTCGAGTGTTCACAAATAACTAAACTGATGTACTAAATTGGCTGAACTTAACCTAACCTAACCTAACTGAGGTTAGGACCTACGAATAAAAAACTGGACATCATGTCAATTTTACGAGTCGCTATAATTTATAGTACACCAGTTTTTGACCTTAGGGGATTTATTCATCAAAATATGATGTACTACTCGAGAGGACGGGTTGACGTAAACATCAGGGTAAAGAAGGAATTCAGAGCTGTTGGAAAATGGGCCATGCCAAGTGTAAATGGGAATGGGATTTTATAGATACAGTATGCGTTTAAAGAGGGATTCATTTCATGTTATGATATTTTCTTCACTTCATCTCAATATAATATTTCTTATCTTTCCAAACATATACTATCTAATTTGATACCTTTAAGTTATAATTCTCACTAACAATTACAGAACACTCTTGATAGATTAATTTAAACATTAAATCTGCACAGGTCAAAAATTCTTATCAGTCAAAATAAAACAAGGCAATAGAAAATGTGTGCTATTTAGTTTTTCTGTTTAACAATTATTAAGTTGTGTGGCAGGTGCAGCATATATAGCTTACACTGTACTACATAGCATATAATGTTCCTCACCAGTTGCCCGGGTACCAAGGATGCGTCGATCATATATTCGGATGGTGGAATCTTGAGTCGCTACGGCCATGTGGTATTGAGTAATGGGGTTGACTGCCACTGCCGTCACAGCACGACCCATATTCAGCAGTATGTCCTATAGAGTAGTTTTGTGCCAAGAGATGCAGAGTATATTTTAGAATCGTTCTTAAAGTTACAGTTGTTATCATATAGTGCAGCATTGCAAACACTCTCTTAAATCAATGTTTAATCACACTTACTTATGGTCACATATATTTTTGTATATATTTTCTACCACAGCTTAACTGCAGTTCTTCTTAATTATATAATTTAGCTCCTTGTAGTTCATCTATTTGTACAATATTCAAACATAGTCATTTAATATTTGTACTTAATGTAAAATTAGTGTAATTTAATCATTTTAACAATATTTGAAAAATTTAACAGTAGATAATGAAAATTATTTGAAAGGACAGTACATATTACAATTATAGAAAGTACATTTGTACAAAGCCACTAATCATGAAGATGTTGTCACGGTAATCTCTCTTAAAAGGAGATTCGGCCTGCTCCATCATCATCTATTCTACTACACCACGTCTACATATTTAAGAACTTAAGAAGTTACAGCAGCAACAATGACAACAACTAATTCTCAGATGTCTAGACAGTGTACCAACAGTCTACCTCCCCCAGGGCCCGTCAGACCCTCGCACCTGGCAACAGTCCCAGGATCACACCACTGTCTGGAACTACCAAATCGCTCGTTCACGTGAGCTGGCTCGCAATTATCTACTTCACCAGCGCCACCTGGACGGCCGTTTCGCCTATATATAGAGGCTACCTGGCCTTCCCTAGCCAGAATACTTCTGCATACTCTACTGCAAAGATCTGTTGGCATACCTCGGTGTGGTAGCAGGATTATGCAGACTAGCTCAGCATTCCCACACCATTTTATTTGCACAATAAAGTAACGTAAATCTGATTGATCATATTGTTTGTTTTGCACATGTTGAACAGAGACAAGCCTGGATATTATTTTTGTTTTGTAAATTATTTAAAGTAAATTTTCATAAGTATTTTAAATTTTGTTCTCTCTATGCTTTATCGTACAGTTACCTCAGTGTGGAGTTAAAATAGCAGTCTAACTTTTTTTTTTACGTTTTTTTTTTTTGCTTCATGTGACAGGCATTCCATCTGCCCTAGAGAGACTGTGATACCATCCATTTTTCACATCACAATGTTTTTGTATATCTTTAGATGGAAGGTACACCATCAATATCAGGATCAATACTGGAAGTCATTTCTAAGGGGGGGGGGGGGCAGATAATGCACTTTGAACATGAAATTTATTGGTAGCCAAAAAGGAGGATTTGGTCTCATGTCTGCTTGAGTCTTCTGTCACCATTTAGATTTGGCATTAATGACAATATTTCCTTATCTGAAAACTAATGTACACTACTGACCATTAACAAACATTAAAAGCTAACCTCTTGACAATTTCGAGCAGAGCACTGCTCTTTGGTCCTCAAATCAAACCATCGCACAAAGCCATCCTCTCCACAAGAAAAAAAAGTGTGGGGATCGTCAGGAAGCGTAATGACATCGTAGCATGTGCTTAGGTGACAGGTAAACTTACAGTCGTGAGTTTCCTCTTGCCTCTCAACATCTGCCAGGTGAGAAAATGAAAATTATTACAATATCTATTACTTCAAGCTTGGTTAAAATTAAAAAGCATTATAGAAATTAACAATCGGTGAACACACACATTCTGCATACACAATACCATACAGAAAGCTTATGCTTATGTTCCAGTGAAACAACTTGCATCACAATTACATTTTCTCAAACCATGAGTTTTGCATCATATGATGTGCCTAGAGTGGATGTAACTTAGTCGTCCATGTGGTGGGGGGGCGGGTCCCACTAAGTAGGCTACCATACTTAGATTCTATGCAAGTGTGGCCACTGTACTCTTTCATTTGTGGTGATTTCAATTGGAATCTAGTTATGTTTGGGACAACAATTATAGTGGATATTTTGTATAACCTCATCATGGAGCAACAAACCAAAAAATGAGTTTAGCCACTAATAAAAAGGTATACGATACATTAAACTCCTAATGTAAAAATTAATGGGAACCTATTTTTTAAGCAAATATTGATTATTTTTAGTATAAAACAAAATAATAATTTTGAACAATGCACGTACCACTAGCTGAATAAACATAAAATGTTAAAAAAGAAAAGGAAAACAATTAAAGTTGGCTAGCCAAGTGCTCTGCAGGCAAAACTTACATCTTAGCATCATTATACAAATGAAGTACCTTTTTTTAGGGTTTGCTATACACCAAAGGAATCATTTCTAGCATTTACACATACACAAAAAGGACAAAATTAAGTTTTTGTTTTGTTTGCCCATCAAAAAGACCTATACAAAATAAGTATAAAGAATAATATGCAAATATATATAGCAATGTGGACAAATAATAGAGTACAGAATAAGTGAGAATCAAGTCAAATTCTGCCTACTAATTATTTTGGTCAAAGAAAGAAATTTAGAGGTAACTATGGAGTGTAAACAGTCACCAGAAGACCACATCAGTGGTATAGCATATCTTAAAACCTAAATCAGAGTATGCGCAAGTTATATGATGTCTATCTCTCTCTCTAAAAGAAAAAAAAATATGTACATAAAATAGAAAAGGTGTAAAAACATTCTTCTAGAAACCTTGAATATATATGAAGAAATTCTGTATTATTATTTTGGATTACACCAGTAGTCATTATTTTCTATCATCTATCAATGAAATTATGCCAAACAGATGGAAATAGCTTACACTAAATTTAGATAAACCCTATTTTAAAACTTCTTAAATGAAAGAAAGCCAATAATATTTCCACAATGCTATGTTGATTCATCAACTATAAATTTATCATGTACAAAATTAATACAACGCAAAATAACCAAATGTTTTTCTCCCATCATACATACAAAATATCCAAACTCTTTCCTAGTTATATGTACAAAAATACAAGCAGCCCTCAATTTGCACAAGGCTTGTTCTTGTAAAACTTACATTAAACAAATGCCACACGAGTCAAAACTAAAGATACTGAACACTGAACATTAAAAATTTATTTATGTTCTGGAGAACATCAAAAGTACTTTATTTTACACTTATATGTAATGAAGTCCAGAATGATTTGGATGTCCAAAGATGCAAGAATACAATTCAAACTATTTGTGAGACACAAGAAATATTGAATAAGTAGAATACAGTACTGACAATGCCATGAATGTGACAGGCCAGAGGATCATTCAATAATCTATTCTAAACCCCATTTAACATCAAAATTCACCAGTGAATTTAAAAACTTGATATAAAAGTGCTTACTGTGATCCAACAAATATATGTTTTCTTATACCATGCAAATTAAGTGCTGCCTGTAGATTTTTCCCCATCATATGAACAAAGGTCACTCAGTCTTACTTATCTTGTACCAAAATAAAACACACAATAATACTAACAATGAACACAGCAATTCCAAATTAACCTGTATATATTAAAATGCCATCCCCAGAACATGAAATAATCTTTCTGTTGCCAGTCTGAGGCAAGAACTTGGCACTGAAGATATTAGCACGATGTGCAGTATGGATGCGTATTTTGGTCATTCGTTCCCAAGGGTCACTGTAAAGAAAAAAATGCAGCTCATTAGAAGTTGTTACTTGATTAATTTTACTTTGACACCAACAAAATAGTTTTGAAACAATTCAATAGGCCTACATAGAGCCTCATATCATAATTATTGTACAGTACATTTAACTATTAAGAGGTGTTACCTGGATAATATAATGAACAATTATCAACAGTGTTCTTTAACAAGACATATGAACAATTAATTCTTGTTGCACTTCTCATATTGGGCCCATACATGTAAGAATTTACATTCAAACCATCATTTGTACAGAATCTTTCCAAACTTTTTTCATATACAGTACAGTACTACAGGTATTACAATTTTCTGATACAGTATCCACATATTTATAATAATAATTATTATATTATTAATATAAAGTACATGTGAAACATGATACAGTGGAGTATTCATAGGTTCACAAAGCCATTACAGTAATACTAAGAGCATTTCAGGCCTAAACAAAACATAATTAGCACTTTCGTCAACTGCAGTCTGTGTCAATAAATAAATTGACAGATGTCCGCTGGTAGGTACGCTCACGGGTACGTATGTCATCGTCACTCACGGGAACGTACGACGTCATGCTCATGTTTGGCCGACTTTGGGCTTTGCTGTGATGGGGGGGGGGGGAGAGGGCTGGTGTTTTGGACTTCATATGCACATATCCCTATAGAGAATTTTACTGCGAACAAATTAACACCAAAATTAACGACGTAGCCCAAGAATTGAGGCGAGAAAACTGAAAAGGGTATACGCTGTTGAGCGCTCATGGGTAAGGCTCACTCGATTTCTGGGTTTGGTGCCGTTTTTCTTTTTTGGCTTTTGGACCTTGTATGCATATATTCCTGTAGGGATTCTATTGCAAACAATTTGGTATCAAAATGAATGACGTACAACGAAAATTGAGGTGAGAAAACTGAAAAGAGTACCGAGTATACACATTTCAGTGTGGCTGCTCGCTCATGCGAACTGCTTGGCGCATCTTGGGATAGGCTGGGGCGTGCACGCCGAGAATGCAAAAATGTTAAGAGTAAGTGCAAGATCCACTTACGAATTACAGTACAATGACACCTCAGCTTACGACTGTCCCGATTTACAAATTTTTTGGGTTACGAGCTTTGCCTCGAGTTACGTAGTTTGTTGATAAGTGTATGGGCGACCTAGCGCGTGGTTCCTGGTGGCACCCTTCCCCGCGCTTCAGTTTACCAGTGCCTCCCGCTTAGTGACGATTGCGCTTTAATTCTTTGTAAAGAATTTCATTGTTTTTCTGATTTTTGGGGGTTTTAAACATAAAAGTAATTAGTATTATATATCATGCCATGGGTCCCAAGAAAGTCGGTGGTAAGGTTCAACCTAAGAAAACACATGTGAGGATGACCATAGAGGAAAAAAACAACAGAACATTCGTAAACATGAAAATGGTACACGGGTTGTTGAACTAGCTAGGCCGTACAACAAATCTATGTCAACGATATGCACTGTACTTGATAAGAAAAAGGACATTATGAGTGCTAAGTGGCAAAAGGCGTATCAACAATCGCGAAACAAAGAGCACAAATTCTTGAGGATGTTGAAACTTTATTATTAATTTGGATACACAAGGAGGAGTTAGCGGGTGACAGCATTTCAGAAGGGCATCATTTATGAAAAAGCAAGGCTACTGCATGAAGATCTTAAAGAAAACCCCTTAGAACGAGTGATGAAGATACGAAAGAGTTTAAGGTGAGCAGGGGATGGTTTGAGAAATTTAGAAAAAGAAGTGGCATTCATAGTGTTGTAAGAGTTACGAGTGTTGTATGTTGGTGCAGGAATACAGCAAAGAACTGACCACCAAAGAACTAGCCTTTCACAAGTTGCAGCAACAAGAGACAACCGAGGAAATTTCGTCAGGGGGAGGAGGAGGCAGTACAGAATGTCCCTTCCTCAACAATTAAGAAGTGGGGTAGACTTTGAAAAGAAATCCAATGGAAAAACAGTTTTGTTGAAACGACTCACCCACAGCAAGCTGAAGTAGGCCGTTGCCTGAACCTTTTTAATGACAATGTGATACCTCACTACAGACAGGTGTTACAACGTAGAGAAAAACAAGTCTCTATGGAAAGGTTTTTAGTGAGAAAAACAGTGAGCCACAACCAGGTCCTAGTGGTATGCAGGCAAAACATAGGAGAATACCCTAGAGAAGTCTGTTTTTGTTGTTTTAGATTTAGCTACTAAGAACAGAATGTCCATGTAGCACGGGCTATGGTGAGCCATGGGCCAGAGAAGTCATCACTGTCCGATTTCATAACGGAAGTGGACTCCCCTTCCAAACACTACACTAACACCTCTCCTCCCCCCCTCCTCTTCACCGTCTTCCATACGCCAACAAGAGTCATCTATAAAGGTAAGCTTTAACTTGTACATACTACAGTACTAAATATTTGTGTTTATTATGTATAAAATGTACTTTTAAGTTAATATTTTTGGGAGTGTGTAACGGATTAATTAAATTTAAATTATTTCTTATAGGAAAATTCATGTCAGGTTGCGAATTTTCATGTTACTAACAGTCTCTGGGTTAAATTAAATTGATTAAATTCGTAAATGAAGGAGCCACTGTGCATTACTATACTAATAAAGATAACACTTTTCTGCTACTAATACTATTTCTACAATTATTAATACTACTACATTACTAAAGAACTACTGTACAGTATTAATAATACTGCATAAAATCATTAAACTTAACTACGTGGAGACAAAGTAAAAAATAAGAGTTAATTTAACTTATACAGTATATACATACTTATGCTCTGATACCATGCCAAAATGCTTGTCAAACACAGTATAACTTTACCATTTAGGGCAAAGTTGCTGGCATTCAGCCATTTTATGTAAGTTATTGGTATACAGATAAAATTTAAAAATACTGATAGTAATTATACCTTCATGGAAATCACAGTGCATTTAGAGTATAATATTGCGAGACATTTATTTATCAAAATGCACCACAGTCATGTTGGTAGATACAATACTTATTTAGATATTAACACATGCAGTATGCAGACACTCATATAATGAAAGGTGTCAGCCTTTTGTAAGAAAATTTAGTCAGAAAATTTTCTCAAACCACATACATACTTTGGTCTATTTTATAATCCTGCTCATTTCAATACAGTACTATTAAGCAGCATTCATGAAATAACATACATAGTTCTTTAAAGTTCAACCCTCTGGGGGGTCCAGACACCAGAACCACAGAACCATGAACATACCACAATGTTTGGTGGTGCATGGCTAAGGAACAACTCAGCATTATGATTTTATATTACTGGACAGGGCAGAAGTGTCAGTAGTCTTTAGTGGTGTTTTCATATTGTTTTAGTGATTTTTATGAAGAGTGGATTACCAACAAATACTGTTGTTTTATTCCAGGGAGAGTTTAAATCTCAGACTCAGTACCATTTAGCTATTTTCTGAGACACTCCTTATTGAAAGCATTTTGGCCGGCTTGATAGATCAAAGGCTCCATTTTAGAGGCCCAAATTCAATTCTCTGGACATTAAAGTAAATAAATATACTTTATATATATTTGTATACAGTACTGTACTGTATATACAGTATTATATAATAAAATTTTTCTCTATATTCCATAGATTCTTTTTCACTTGGGAAGAAAGTTGAAAAATGAAATTAAATTTACACTTAATAAGCCTGATGTATTTTGCCAAGGGATGCATTCTGCATTCAGAAGATGCTTTGTTAGCATCCTCAGAAACAGTATGAAAGTGAATTCAAAAGGACAAATACTTTATAGCAATGTATATTCTATGTAGGTGTGATGTGAGGAAAGGTGATTACCAAGCTGAGGAAAGGAAACCGTGTACTACATTCTCATTGGTCTGCTGAGGCTGTAAGCACTAGGCCCGAATGGCTATATAGCACTGGGAAAAGATGTAAAGAAAAAGAACTGGAATATGTACCTATCTGTTACCTAGCTGTTGATAATTGGTTGCATGTGTTTGATATGAAGTATGTCTGCTATGTCTTATTTATATATTTGCCAAATCTGCCAATTATTTTGGTGCTGCTGGTCAGTCTTTCTGGTAATGTTCTGGTTGTGCTTAGAAACTACAGTATATGACTTTTAATGGAGACTTGCTGTTTTTGCATTGTCAGGCACTGTGAGAGAGATGTTGGCCTGATGTAAATGCCTAAGACATGTTTGCCTGGCTGGCATGTAAATGCACAAGCCAACATTAGTCTCTTCCAAGGTGTTCCATTTGGCTCGACCCATTTGGTTTGGTGTCAGAATTCATCATGAGTAAGTTGGTGGTTATTTTATTCATGAAGGAATGAAGAGCTGTATTGGTTGGGTCAAGTTTCTGTCAATATTTTTCAGGACTCTTTATAGAACCACAAAGGATACCAATTGTAACTTATGACAAGACGTAATATGGGGTGATTTAAAGATTACCATATAACAAGGTGTTGATCATCAGAGCCAGAAAGCAGTAGGTTTCCAGGTGAATCCCACACAACAGTGTTAACGCAGCCTCTGTGAACCTCCATTGCCTGCAGCAGCGACATCCTCTGCAAAAGGCACTCATTGCCTGCAAATAATGATATATTACAGTTCCTGAGCTGAATATTTTGTAAGACCAAATATCAAATACAATAATAATAATAACAAAAGAATAAAGGATTTTTCAGTTATTTGCCCATGTGAAGCAGCACCTACATACTAATATTCAACCACTTCCACTTAAAAATTTCTTTAACCGATGCTCGAAACTTTCCAACACGTTGCATACAAGTGCAACACTATTTCCAAACCAGTGTTTACCTAGTTATTTTCCAAATCTAAACTTATCTAACTTCAATCAACAGTTTTGGGTTTAACTGGATATAACAAGACATTCTCAGCACTACAGTATTTATATAATCCTCAATAAAACCTTTCACCCATCTACATTCTTCAATTCAGTGGCACTTCACTTTTCCTACTCTGATTTTACTCTTTCATGCTGACCTAGTTTGCTGTGTGATAACCATGCCCTCATCATTGAAATAACTATTGAAATTGTCGTATCTGAATGCAGAAAACATCTGGACATAAGGATTAGTAATGATCTTAGTTCAAAAAATCAATGCATAGACATCTATGTACAGTATTACAAAATACTCTGGCTATCAACCATTTTATTTTAATGAGGGTAATTCATGCTATTAGCTTACATAATGTTATTTTAATTAAAGCAGTTCCTATAAAATATTAAATAACAAAATGCAAACAATTTAAAATACAAAAATATAATAATGTATTGCATTGCATATTAGAGAAGTAAAGATCAGTTGTACATAAATTGCAAAGTTGAGCAAGATGTAACTCTCATTAAGTATACACAGTACTTTAATTACTAACAGTCCGGTTTAAACACCCATCTGTACTTATAAACACCAAAATTCCTTCTGATTTGTACACTTTACTTCTCTTCAAGTATGCACACACAGCCCATTAAAAGGTAATTTACCATTTTTCCGTTTTGCAATCGCTACCTCCCCCTTGCCAATTGCACTACTCACCCTTAGCGAGGGGTTGAAGGAGGCTGTTGTCGAGAGGATCATACTGGCGCTTGAGAATATGCCTTAACATCAGTATATCACTCACGGTATGTCACCTGAACACTGCATTCACCAATATTAGCTGAATTGACGAGAGTTTGTGGTGGTCGGGTCCGTCTCTCTCTGTTGTCAGCTGTTGTTGTTCTCTTGTGAATGTGAGTGTGGATACAAACTGCTCTTCCAGCAATTATAGTGGGAAATTTTACAAATTTGTCTTAAATATTTATTCATTAATAATTCCGTTTTAATGACATGAAAATTATTTATTAAATATGTTGGAACAAATTTAATAGAAGAACTTACATCCATTTTCTGCGCTCATTGATTTATGAGAGGGTACGAGCCTGCAATGTGTCTGAATATTGAATCTAATTCTTTTAATAAACGCTAACAGCCAACGCCGGGCCACACTGGCATTTGAATCAAATAAGACACTTAAAACCATTCATGAACAATGGATATTATACAATCCCACGATCTTAAACGTTTATGGTATAATAATAATTAAATGTGTTTCACAGTCGCTCTATATATATACAAGTTCAGTTTATTTATTATTTAATTGAAGGCCACTATATCTTTCTAGTGGTCTCGATGGAGACGGGAAGCCGGCGGCTTGTTGAAGTTCCCCTCCCCAATTGTTTTTATTTTTTTTTTTCAACTGGATTTTGAACTTAAGTAATGTCTTTATGTTACGATGTCAGAAGGTAGGCGGTTGCTTGGGCTTGCAACTCTATGGGTGTCATCTAGTTAATGTATTTATTTTTGGTAAATTGCCTATTCAAGTCATACATATGTTATCTTACTTCTTATTTATTATTGAGAATTTACGCATTACACCCTTCAATTTGCCTTACGTATTCTATCTTATGCCCGAAAGGCTTAGCGTAGCTAGTGACTTTATTATAATGCCTCCTTGTACATCCTGTGTATATCATCTATGCCTGTCTCACATATGTTATCTTACTTATAATTTAATATTCAGTGTTGACCCCATTATACCTATAAATAATTTGTATTTTAATTATTCTAAGTTTTGCCCGAAACACTTCGCGTAGTATACTGTGATGGACTTTCTGCAAAGGAGATATGTCCTTTTGAAAGTTGTTACAATTTATTAGAGAGTTGTTACAAACTTGTTAGGGAGTTGTTGCAACTTGTTAGATAGTTACAGCTTGTTTAATAGTTGCTATAGTTTGTTCAAACGTTGTAACCACGTCGTATGTTTAGCGGGTTGTGGAACTTTCAATGGCCGATAACCAGTGCTTATCAAAATAATAACTAACTCTCAAAATAAAACTCAAAATACTAACTCTCTGTTTCCTTTGGTATAGCCATGCCCTAATCCACCTTAATATAGCACCCCCAATACCATGAGACTCTATCTTTTTAATCAGTCTTTCATGTGGCACTGTATCAAAAGCTTTGCTAAAGTCAAGGTACACAACATCATAATCCTTACCACTATCAACTGCCTCAACAGTGCTAGAATAAAAAGATAACAAATTTGTTAAACATAAACGGCCATTTATAAAATACCATGTTGCGACTCAATTATTAATTTATGCTTTTCAAGATGAAGACGAATTTTATTTGCTATTATAGATTCGAGTAACTTTCCCACAATAGACGTTAGGCTAATTGGCTGATAGTTTGACGCAAGTGATCTATCTCCTTTCTTAAAAATTGGTACCACATTAGCTACCTTCCATGACTCTGGCACTCTGCCTGACTATTGATTTATTAAATATGGTAGACAGTGGCTCGGAAAGCTCCTCTTTGCATTCTTTAAGCACCCTGGCAAACACCTCATCCGGCCCTGGGGATTTGTTTGGTTTTAGTTTTTCTAATTGTTTAATTACATCCTCCCTGGTAACTGCTAAACTAGTCAACCTGTCCTCATCCCCACCCACATAGACTTGTTCGGCTGAAGGCATATTGCTAAGTTCTTCTTTAGTAAATACAGATATAAAATATTTGTTAAAGATACCACTCATCTCCTTGTCATTATCCGTTATTTGACCTGTCTCAGATTTTAATGGACCTATCCTTTCCCTAGTCTTAGTTCGATATAACTGAAAAACCCTTTAGAATTTGACTTTGCTTGCTTTGCTATGCGAACTTCATAGTTTCTTTTTGCTTTCCTAATCTCTTTTTTAACATTTCTAACCAGTTGTATGAATTCCTGTTCTAAACTGACTTCCCCATTCTTAATCCTTTTGTACCAAGCTCTCTTTTTACCTATAAGGTTTTTCAAATTCTTTGTTATCCACTTTGGGTCATTAGTATTCGATCTATTCAATGTGTATGGTATACTACGTTCCTGTGCTTTGTTTAGAATATTCTTAAATAAGTTATATATTGAATCCACATCGAAATCCCCATTTACGTCACCTATCGCTGGGTTCATGTCTCGCTCCAAGACCGGCCCCCACCCCATACCCAAGACTTTCCAATCAATTTGACCCAAAAAATTTCTTAGGCTATTAAAATCAGCTTTTCGAAAATCTGGCACTTTAACAGAATTTTCTCCTACAGGTCTATTCCATTCTATGCTAAATCTGATTTCTTTGTGATCACTGTTCCCTAGCTCACTCCCTATTTCGATGTCATTAATTTGTGTTTCCCTGTTAGTTAACACTAAATCTAAAATATTATTTTCCCGCGTTGGTTCCTTAATGTGTTGCGTAAGAAAGCAATCGTCAATTAATTCTAGAAAATCTTCTGCTTCACTATTCCATGTTTTGTTCAGCCAGTTTATTCCACTAAAATTAAAGTCACCCATGACGTAAATACTGTTAGATCTAGATGCCCTAGATATTTCATCCCATAGATGCTTTGCTTCCATTCTGTCTAAATTTGGTGGCCTATATATAACTCCTATTATAATATTATTTACTTTTTCGTATATTTCTATCCAAATAGTTTCTGTTTGTGGCTCAGTTTTGATTCCCTCTTTGAGACTACATTTCAAATTGTCCCTAACATATATGGCTACTCCCCCTCCTCGTCTAATATATCTATCTGTGTGAAATAGTTTAAATCCATTTATTTGATATTCAGCTAATAGTTCTCTATTTTCTACATTCATCCACGTTTCGGTAAGTGCAATAATATCTATTTTTTTCTGTGCAGACAAGAGCATTTAAATAATTAATTTTATTTCTTAGACTTCTACTGTTAGTGTAATATATCCTAAGTAAATTGTTATTTTGAGGCCCTTCTCTTTCCCTGATCATTTTACCAATTCCTTTCTCCCACAAACACATACTTTTATTACCTCCTTCCTCCAAATCAATTCCCATACCTCTATCTACTAACAGTTTAAACCCAAACAAACACCTCTAACCACTTCTTTCAACGAGTTCGCAACAGCAACAACCCCAGCTCTCGATAGATGCACCCCATCACGAGCATACATTTCATTTCTTCCATAGAAGTGTTCCCAGTTGTCTATGAAAGATATTGCATTTGATTTGCAGTATCTTTCCAGCCGGCAATTGACACCAATTGCCATCGACATCCATTCATTTCCCACTCCCTTTCTTGGAAGAATGCCACATATGATCTGGATTCCTCCCTTGCTCCTAACTAATTCAATGGCTGTCCTGAATCTCTGTATTAGTTCCTCACTCCTAACTCGTCCAACATCATTACTCCCTGCACTAATACAAATAATGGGTTTGTTCCCATTTCCTGTCATAATATCATTCATGTTTCCAACAATTTCACCAATTCCAGCTCCCGGATAGCAAACCCTTAATCTGTTCCCCCTATCTCTGGCACAAAACGTTCTGTCTAAATACCTCACCTGGGAATCTCCCACAACCAAAATTTGCTTCGATTCTCCCTTTTCCTTTCGAGCAGTTTGAGGGACCTGCGCTTCAATGCTCCTCGTTGCTTTGCCTCCTCTTTGAACAACAGGTTCACCACAGCACTCGTTCTCTAATACGTCAAATGCATTAAAATTCCTTAGGTGTAGGCTATTAGTTGTCGGTTTTGCCAAGGTCTTCTTAAGACCCCTGTCTTTCACAACTTGCCAAGACGAGGTCTTCTTAATACTGGTCCCGTCAGTCCTTCTTAATGAGGTCCCGTCACCACTGGCTTCCTCCTTCGTTTCCTCCCGAAGTCTCAGCCGTCGTACCTCCTCCCGCAGGGAATCCATCTCTGCTCTCAGAGCTCCAACCAGACTCACCAAATCCTTCACTAATCCTTCCATTATTGCAATAATAATGTTACTAGAATCGGAGCTCCAGCTAACACAACCTCTCACTTCTTGGTTGGGGGGGGGGGAGGGGAGACTGCCAGTGGGTGCTGAAACAATTCAGTTTCGTCACCTTCTTCGACTTCTACTTCGTCAACCTTTTCAGATAGGGCTTGTAGAAGTGTGGAAGAAATAAGTTCAGTAGATTGTTTTTTTTAACTCTGTTAACATTTCCTTCCTTGACTGAGGGTTGGTTTGGGAATGCTTTGCCAAGCATCTTGCTGAAGGTCTCTGTCAGGGAGGCAATACTCATTGGAACAGTAGTCACTTGATATGCCTTTGGCTGCCTTTCGTTTTTCTTGGTAGGTGAGGAGATTCTGGGTGGGTCATGGTGTCTTCACTACATCCAGCTACCGGGGCATTTGATGATGTAGGGGTCGTCCTTCATGCTTGTGATGTCTTGGTGGCAACAGCAGGTGTATTTATTTTGCTGTCCTGATCTGTACGGTTGTTGTTGCCTTATGGCGTAGGGCTTTGTTTTCTCCACTTATTCGAGGTTCTGTTCTTGTTTAGACTGGAAGGAATTGGAGCTTTAGTCTGTTGCTGATTTTTATTTTCATTTATTCGAACTTGCCGAGGAGTGTTCCCTCTGGCTTTTAACTGAAGGTCTGTTAGTTTGTGGTCTTGGAGTTGTAGCGTTGGGTTGCTGGGTAGATCCGAAGGCTTGTATTCTTTTTACACTTTCTGGACTTCGTTTGTTCCAGGCGTGATGTGTATTCCCGCAGTTTGGACATTTTACGTTTGTTGTTTGTTTTAGATTTAGCTACTCAGGACGAAGTGTTCATATAGCCCGGGCTATGGTGAGCCCGTAATTGAGTTCGGTTGTTCGCGATAACCTTGTTACTGTGATATTTTACGTTTGTTGGTTTGCCCTTCTTCAT